TTGCTAAGAATCATGCTTAGACTGTTTGTGAATTGATACTTAAGATTTTTTCTTAGCTAAGAATTTTTTAGAAAACTTAAGTCAATTTCTAAGAAAATTCTAAGAAGCTTTGTGAATACCGCCCCTGGCTTTGGTCTTGAGAGGTCATCTTGGGCTCTGGCCATTGCATGAATAACACCACGTGTCCTCTGAGTAGATGTGTCCAAAAGAATACTGTTGTTCTCTGTCTCTGTCCTGACTGGTGGCTCTCCACGCTTAACTGTCTTGTATGGATCAATCTTCTGCATTGCACTTCCAAGTTCCTTGAGAGAGGCAGAGAGAGATGAGGCCAGTTTTGCACTGGGAACTGGACGAGTTTCATGACTCTCCAACGGTTCCGAATCAAAAGATTCTGGTTGAACAAACAACACGTTAGTGCGGTGTGGTTGATCAGCACCAGTGAGTGTGTCACTCTTGAAGTCATCATTGTCTACTATAGCCACAGCAGGTTTGCCTTCAGAAAGCTCGAAAGGACAATTCAATGAATGCTTTAGGTCAGTCGCTACCCAGAAATCCTGCAGCATAAGAACATCATTGTAGCTGATGCCCAAACCATCTCCCTACGTTTTGTCAGTCCATGTAGCATGACTGACATTTTCGTCTCAAATGCAGCGTGTTTTCTGGTGATGTAACTTGTGATGACAGAAGCAATTGAACGGACAGTTGGACAATCATCAATGACAGCCATCTTTGGATGCTTCTTCTCTCTCCAATTCATGGATGTATGGAGGCCAGGGGTCAGTGTTAATGCTCATGACTTGCTCCTTGAGTCGTGCTGCAACATTCATAGCTAGCTGATCATTGCTGACACCAAGTGAATATATTGCAGCCTCAACATATGTTCCTCCTGCTTTGGTGTGATCATAGACCAGTTCACTCTGCTTTTTCTGATTGCGTTGACGAAACCTGATGCTTTCACAAAATTCTTTGATCAGAAGATCTTGAAGTAGCTTGATTTAACTATTGAATTATGCCCAAAATTTGAGATGATGCCTTTGTAATCATTCAGGAGACTTTGTACGGTAACGAATTCATGATCTTTGAAAATTACTTGATGAACATGATTGAAGAAAATACTCTGTGCTTCTCAGAGGTTCACCCGCTGAAGATGCTGAGCGCTTTCATCAGTGATATCCTTATGACTAGGCACCTGAATCCGAATCAAATATAGCAAAATGTTTACCTTGGCATCTGAAAATAATATATCCTTTGCAGAATTTATTATAACTACCTTAGCATTAAGTTATTTGCTTTAACATTCACAATCAGTTTTAGGTCGTTGATGTCGTGCTTCAAACAAATTATTGAGGTCAAACAGATAATTTCCCCTCAATCCTTAGATATTGACCAATATTACATTACACTGGTATTGGATGAAGATGACAGATAGATCGGGCATATACAACTATGTACATTTAAATTCATACCAAGATCATTACAATCGGTTAATCATCTCTTAAGGTATGACAATACTACACCAAACTGCTAAAGAAACGCATTACTAAAAAAACCCCGCACAATTAATGTTTAATACTTTAGCATGATCAATTTTGGTCGTTACTAATAGTTTTGTTAAATTCAACATGTCAGCTTTTATCACCTACAAAAATATCTTTCAAGCTCATATAGTTTCCAAGATATAACCCTTCAAAATTATCCGGCATGTGCGTTTCTTTTGTAGTTGTGTATACCTTATATCCTACATTGTTGGTGACCATTTTGAATATTGAGATAAATATGATCCTAAGGATAAAATTAACCATTCCAATAGTTTTATCATGTTAAAATTAGTTAGATAAGACACCTCATTTGTTCTTGTAGCCCATCTAGTGTTCGAGATATGATATGTTCTGTTTTTCAAGATGGCAGCCGGCGGCCATCTTGGAATTCAAGGTCAGAATCGCTTCTAATGTAAAAAATAACAATTCCAGTGGATTTAGCATGTTCAAATTAGTGGGATTAGACACCTTATATGTGTCTGTGGCTGATATTCTTCCAGAGATATACTATTTCATGCTATTTAAAATGGCGTCGACGGCCATTTTGAATTTTGCGTTCTGGCAGAGTTAGCCGTCATTTTCCAGATGGTCATGGGGGCTAAATTTTAAGTTAAACATGTCAGTTAAACAAGTCCATCATAAAAAAAAGGTAGGAACAAAGTGGTCACGGATTCCAGGGATATGACTCTACTAATATATATTCTGTATAAAATTCCTCATTCAGTCTTGCTTGACAACAATATAAGGATCTTACCGAAACGTCACCTTTACAGTATTAAATAAGTTGTTATCCATAAATTGTGTCTACTTTGAGATAACATATTTCCCTATATTTCCATATTTGTGGAGAAGTATATTGTGAACTAGTTACTGTGGACCTTATGTATCATAACGGGGAGACAAACAGTAGTAGTATTAGTAGATTTTACGACCGCTTCAGCCATCGGCTATTTCGCAGTCGGGGCCAGACGGGTTAGACAATAACAAACAATAGTGGGAAATAAATAAGTAATCGGCTGGCCCAAAAAATATAAGTTAGGGGGGAAAAAGAAGAAAGAAATACAGTAAAGGAGGATGAAGGGGAGAGAGAAGTTTAGCAGTAGTGTTGTGGAGCTGTAAGAAACCTAATCTAAGGGAAGTAACTGGTATATAGACTTAAAATGGTATAAAATCAGTAAGGCTGATATGCTAATTAATAATATGTACTATAAACTTAAAAATAACGGTGGGATGGATGGGAAAACCTATTATAAAAGTTTGGGCTTACTGGCTGGGGTAGGGGAGTCAGGAGGGGGGGGGGGGGGGGGGGGGTGGTGGGGGGTGAGACAAACATTGGATTCTGTAGGTATATATAGCAACAAGTAGGTATGTATGCCAATAAGTAGGTACACTTTCCAGGGGCGGTCGGATAGCCTAGTAGCTGAAGCGTTTGCGTTTCACGCTGAAGACCCGGGTTCGATTCCCGACATTGGTACAATGTGTGAAGCCAAATTTTGCTGTCCCCCGTCGTGATATTGCTGGAATATTACTAAAAGCAGTGTAAAACCCTACTCACTCACTCACATAGTCCAACAAGTAGTTATATATACCAACAAATAGATAGGTATTCCTACAAGTAGGTATATATTCCAGCAAGTAGGCATAAATGCCAAGAAGAACGTTAATACTCCAGCAAGTAGGTATATATTCCAGCAAGCAGAGACATATTCTAACACGTAGGTATATATTTCAACAATTGAGTATACATTCCAACTAGTAAGTATATATTCCAACAGGCAGGTATATATTCCAAAAAGTAGGTATATATTCCAACAAGTAGAGACATATTCTAACACGTAGGTATATATTTCAATAAGAACGTATATATTCCAACAAGTAGGTATATATTCCAAAAGGCAGGTATATATTCCAACAAACAGGTAGGAATAAAACAAACTGGAGTAAGTGTGATTTGGCAAAGACTTAGTTTCCTCTCATAGTCATTAACCGTAATATTATGTTACATTTGAGTCAAGACCATTGTCGGCTTCAATCAAAGTTGACGAACAGCCTACCGGATGCGCAACGGAGATGTATAAACCTTAATTCCGAATTTGAGAGCGATAATACATTGTCCCATAATTTCAATAAGCAATTCAGAGTAAAAGAAGTCCGCATCAGACAGATTTCAGTTACTGATCAATGAAGTTAAACTACCCGGCAAAAGAAGGTTACACTTAAAATTGGATTTGCCCAAACATTACAAAACCTTATCAATACGTTACCCACTGAAAACTGAAAGGGCAAGTTCACACGGAAATGAACCTATTTTTCTTGTACTTTTTCCACATTAAAAGTGTTAACGTAGAAGTGTCATAGACAAAAATTTAAAAATATCACAATTAATTAACATATTTTTCGCATTAAAACGATTTATATTTTTCACATTTACCAAGTGTTCTATTTCCACAACAAAAACACCATGGCTTATGCCCCTTGCAATATGACGTCATTGGTGCCAATTGATAAACATTATGACGTCATCATGCTTTGTAAGAGCCGCTTCACGTGGTGTAGGTCTAGGTGTGTGATTCTAGCGTCTCAGATGCCAGCCAGCATAGTGTTATGCTGAGTCACCACTGCGCCGGAGTGTGTCGTAGGCCATGTTGTTTTACCGCAAACTGGTACTTGATATCTTTTGCGTTGAGAATAGACAGGGACCAAGTTGAATTGGCACCAATTACGTCATAATCTAAGGGGGATAACTCAGGCCTGTTTAGCTCGAAAAACGAAGGCCTCATAACGGCATATCATTTTCACACTATTGTGAGCTTCCTACTTTCACTGTGAAAAAAATGAGTGTATATTTTCAAACACAGATACTAATTAATTCTAAAATTGCGTTTTGTTTAGAAAAAGAAAGAAAGTGATTTTTGCGTGTACACTTCCCCTTTAAGGCCCGAAACACAACAATATTACCCGTATCTAATACATCCTCATCCATTTCTAATTTCTTTCATTTAAGTCACACAAACAAGGGTGCATACTTTCTTTTGCGCGTCAGTTTAGTTAATTTAGTTGGGGTACGGATAAATTAAAGTCCGGTTTAGACAGATTCCAGTGAACTAATTTCAGCAGATAGACACCATACAAAATAAAATCTACAGTGTTCATAAGAAACTCTTAACGAGTTGAGTGGGGAAAGGAGATTTGACACTGAAGCAAAAGTGTCTACTCTTAAGCATGTGGTTAACGGTAAACATTGTGTCTCGTACATATCCCAGAACATATATCTAATAAAACATTCACCTCCATTCCACTATTATCCCTTTCTCGGCTGTAGTAGCCTATACTCGCCCCTTTCCAGCTCTAGGCTTAGGGTTTCCTTAAATACTCGTACATAGTGTAGGTTCCCCTGTAGAATGTATTTTAGTTAGCCTTACATATATCTTTATAACATACAGAAAACAACAGTTTACTTACCTTCTCCATTGTCAAGAGTTGTACCCAGTGTGGTGCTGCTGCAAGTGACGGAATGGTTTTATATGCTGGAGTTGACGTGAATCATGTGTAGCCACTGAAATAGCTTGGCTGGCCCCACTGCAAACACGAAAACGTCGGTTTTTTTCCGTATATGGTCATTGGGAAATAACGTTTTTTGGACGCTTTCTCAACATTGGTTTTCTGTCCAAATAACGTCGTTATTTGACATGGGAATGAACGATTTTATCAAGCTCCTCCCTCTTCAGCGTAAACCAGCATATACAGGTATTGCTCGTTGTCAGCCTTCATTGGTCAGCTCTTGCGTGTTGTTACAGGCCGGGGTTTATAATACCTTACTCAACGTTTCCATTCTGTGCATTTCTGATTTCGTGGATTGTTTACAGCACGTAATTGATGTTACGTCGCAGCTGCTGGAAGCTGTACGTGCAATAATAACGTAACCAGGATTGACAGTTTTAACACAAGGGATTTGCTGCTATGCCAGTCGATACGTTTTAAGTTGATTTAATGGCATTAGGTAGAACATCTAAAGATTAATAAGACACAATATATAAAATCAAAAACATTTCTCTTTCAAAATAGCAACGAAACTATTAAGGTCGAATGACAATGTCATAATCATTGGTAATAATCAACACATATGTTAGTTTTATCGATGTCAGTACCCGAACGTTTTCGCAAACGGTCGAGACGGATGCACAAACGATTTACATTCAGCTATATTTGTTGGAACGGTTCGCCTTGAAGGAGACAGGATAATGCCGTTTACGAGTTCTGAAGATACATGCTCACAACCACTCTGTCCTTGTACCATACTATTTTAATTAACTTCCGCCCCGCCCTTATAGAAATGATATAATCCTCGATGAAGCAAGTCTAGACTTTTCAAAAGTCTGAATCTCCCATCTCACTGGGGCTCCTTTCCAATCTAAATTCAGTTGTTTGTTTCTATCACCAGCGTATTGGAGTTACTAAGTGGTAATCTAGCTCACAACCTGAGTAGTCCGCAAACAAAAGAACATTAACATACACCAAAGCATCTTCCATGGACTTGTTAATTTGCTTACTGTTATTAATCTCTTCATGCTATGGCCAGTCTCTGTCAAAGGTATCTACAAAATTTAACATTCTGTTCTCATTGGTGTATAAAAAGGAAAAAGAATGTAAAATTAGATCTTTGAACTGCTCAAAATTCAAACTATGTCGGCCCATGGACGAAGAGTGGCTCATAGGCGAATAGTGGGCGAGAATATTTTCCTTTGCTGAAAACACATGTTTTTCTTTTGCAAATACATAAAGGTGTGTCTACCAGCACCGTGATCCATAATTCAACTCATTTTTACTTAACTCAAGTTATGTGTGGCGTTAGCAAAAGACAATATTTTCCTTTGCTCAAAACTCATGGTTTTTCTTCACACATAAAAGTGTGTGCTTACAATCATGACACATGATTCAGTTCATTTTCACTTAATAGAACTAACATGTGGCGTTATTAAATTATTTCGCCCATGGCCGAGAAAAACTTCCTTTGCTAATTTGTGGTCTTATCAAAATATTTCGCCCAGGCCAAGAATAATTCTTCCTTTGTTCAAAACTCATGCTATTCTTTTGCATATACATAAAGATGAATCTACAAGCATCATGGCACATAATTCAACTCATTTTAACTTCAACTAAATAATTTTTTGACGGCATTAAAACATTTCGACCATGTTTTGGTCAGTCTCCTTAAATCATTAACTAATTGTGTGCAAAGTATATTGTAGCATATGAAATATAATTTACATTATGTCATTACATTACTTTTCAAAATGGGCCTTTTGTAGGATTTTACCTTTAAAGATTTTGGTTTGTTTGTTGCCTCACTCAGCAATATTGCAGCTATATGACGGCTACCTCTATACAAGTTTTACAAGTTTTACCTTTTGTACATATTGTAATCATCTTTAATGAACCCAGTCTCAACTCTCACAAATAGAATATCGTTGATCATACGAATTCATGCGAGCATACTCCAATTCATTGGCAATATCATCAACAACATTCAAGTTATTTGGTTTCTTTCTCATTTCCAATTGTATGTCTTGTTGTTACTTCTATTCCATACGAACCATGAAGATTCCGGGGTAGAATAGGTCTTCAGCAACCCATGCTTGCCGTAAAAGGCGACTATGCTTGTCGTAAAAGGCGACTAACGGGATCGGGTGGTCAGGCTCGCTGACTTGGTTGATACATGTCATCGGTCCCAATTGCGTGGTTCGATGCTCATGATATCAATCACTGGATTATCTGGTCCAGACTCGATTATTTACAGACATATAGCTGGAATATTGCTGAGTGCGGCGTTAAACAACAAACCAACCAACCAACCAATCTATTCGATACGTTGTTTATGGTGACTAACAAAGACGAGGCCACAGAGCGGAAGAACCCGGCCCGCCGCATCTTTGGTCTTAAAAACGTTCCATTAATGACACTGGGCTATTAAGTGACACTAGGTGTGCAATTTACAGGCACCCGTGTGCGTATTTTAATGAAGAAAAATCGCCGATTCGTCTTTTATTGCAAAACGTCTGGCTGAATATCTCATATTCTAACGAAATCTCGAAATAATAATTTTATTATATGAGATGTCGAACTGACCAATGGGAATTATGTTTGAAGCACATTGAGTAAAACTTGAGTGAATACTGTGACACGAAAGCAATTTTAAAATTCAATGTCACGTTTTTTGTGTGAAAGAATGATAACGGTCCCGAACAACAGCCTCCTTATGATAATTCCCATAATCTCATCAGTACGTTGCATCAGATTATAGTGTTGGCCTTATTTACAGGCTAGTCTACAATACCTGCTCTCGTTCAATTACAATCTGCCACACCACGCGTGAATAAACAGTTCTGCAATTAAAAAACTTAAAATACTAAATGTTTTTGGTAAAGTATACTTAATAATCCAACAATTCCGTAAAATGTTGAACAACTCAAACTTGACATTTTGTGGTTAAATAGCGTACACCAGACAAACAGAATCAGAGGAATTATCCAGATTTTCACTGCAATTAGTTTTAATACAAATTGTCACTAAAATACCGAATGTGTCCGACCCGTGATTCATTACATGCAAAGACTCTGCTTCAGACGGAAAACGTCAAACGTCTGATGAGGCCACGTGGCAAGTCATCTTGTAGAGGTTGAAGGAGCTTTTAGAAATGGCCATACATTAACTAGAAAAAAGTTTTGAGTGAGCAGTGTGAATGTACATACGTTTTTCTCTCCCTTTCCTTTCCTTTCTGTCATTTGATTTATGAACTGTAAATGACCATACATGCAAATCGATGGGAGAGGGCGTTCTAAGTTGTGATAAATTGTGCCCAATCCTTTTCATGAGAATAAAATATGTTTAAACTAAACTGAGAGCTTGTATCAACTCTTGTCTGTTAGCCGGAGGGTCTGGTCAGACTTTAATTCTCCTGTCCATCGCGTTCCAGAGGTGTTCTGTAGGGGATAAGTCAGGAGAACATGTCGGTCACGGTAAGGATTTGAAGTTATTGTTGGCAAGGAAGTCCTGTACGATACGAGCTGTGTCGGCCTGGCATGTCGTGTTTGTACAGAACAATCGGGGTTGGTACTGGAGGTAGGGCAGCACTACTAGAAGGATGATATCATCTATATTGCGAGGTTTTCATAGATGACGACGAGTGGGGTTGTCTGGTCTCAACAAATACCAACCCACACCATAACACCACCTCCACCGTAGGGAACGACGTCTGCGTCGAAGTTCAGAGGTCAACATCTGTCCTCTGAACGATCGGTAGGCCCTGTTACCTGCTGCCCGAAGTCTTCTGGTCACTGAGTGTGTGCTCACCCGCCGACCAAAACATTCACTGCCGATGATGTCACTGTGAGGAGGTGGTTGCGGAGGTTTGATGATTTTTTACTCTTTATTGTTTAATGCCCCAGTCAGCAATATTCAAGCTATATGACGGCGGTCTGTAAATAATCGAGTCTGGACCAAACAATCCGGTGATTGTCTCCCTATTTACCATCACTGACTGCACTTTTACCAAGAACAAGAGGTGAGGGCGCAGTGAGGTGTACCTGGCGGTGTAGCAGGCTCAAGTCAATCCCTTAACAATTCACTCAGAATAGGTTCAGTTCACTCCAGTAGGCCCATAATTCTCACCCCAGGATCAGATACTTCCGTGTATCAGTGTCAGATTCAGATGGGACATCAATCGCCCTTTACAATTCTGAAAAGATGTTTTACACTAAAAAGTGTCAGATCTCTCAAATAATTAAAACTCCCTTTGATTCAATCTTAATCTTTTGTCTAATCATAATAATCATACAAGGGTTATGTCAAAGTTTGACACATGAAAATAATAAGAAGCGTCGATACAACTGGGTATAACCATACATAAAATACAAGTTAGAGAGACAGGAAGATATTCTTAATTTCCCCCAGTGGTCATTCCGAAGATCACAATGAAAGTATATTCAGTTACACGTGGCTAGCATAATACAATAAAGAGGCATAACATATTTACAATTTCACACAACCTATCAAATTCAAATACCTATACGGAGACAGATATCAACTTAAAAGTATATATCAAAGGATGCTTTAGTTGTACAGATGAGAGGCGAAATGTAGTATGATAGTTTCCCAGATGTGTTGATCCAGATTGTGAGTAAATTCTTTTTCACTTTTTCACAAACATGATAGCATGTCTGTTTCGTCTTCCATTTCGAAATCAACATATTTTGTAACAGCAAGTGAGTCAATCAGAAAAGGGTAAAACGTATTTCTTTCTGATATAAGTGTTTAACAATGTTGAATAATGTGGTTGTCATAGTCGAACGTATGCCAATTTCAGTGCTTGCATTATTTCGAATGTTTACAGCGTGATGAGACTTTCACACAAAGTTATTAGGCAGGTCGGTATTCCGGGTAGAGAAAAACTAATTGCCAAATTACATAGTATGTAAATTTTGTATGAATTATCTTAGAACGGGACATGCCAGTGTTTTTTTTATACATTTGTGAGAAGTAATTGTTCTTCGTATATGCAAAATTCTTCTTTTAAATTTTGGAGGGAAAGTACTGTATTGCACTTTTTTTTACAAAGGTGGCTACCCAAATTGTATTTATCAAGTGTTGATTTATGTGCTTGACAGATTGCCTTTGAACAGACAGGGCTAGAAATGGACGCACACAAAAAAACTGTTGACAAGGTATTACAGTTCAGGGTGCATAAACGACCGAGAAATAAAAGTTTGCATTTATGAATACTTGCAGTAATTGTCCAAAGTCCAAGGTTCGCAATAGTGGATTCTGAAGCAGATTTTTTATCAATATCCTGTACAGTGCGTGCAAAATATCATTGTGTGCTTTCAAATAGATCGGTATGTTGTCCCTTGATGTCAAAGGTAATTCACATGCATAAATGATGGTTTTGTGTATTATTCTGAGCTACATTTTCACGCTTGAAATTGGATGAAGATCATAAGTATTTAATCCTAAATATATAAGGGTGTTAATATTTTGCCTTGCTTTATGACTCCTTTTCAATTCCTGTTTTACAAGAAAGATTATACGTGAAGAGCATTCCACCATATACCGTAGAATCAGTTGTAGTAATGTGTGGATTACCGAGGTTACAGTGGAACATATGCCCCTTGCGTTTCGCTTCGTTGAACACATTAATTGCACTTTTTGATGGACTATATGGTAGGCTCCACCTTTTGGCATATGTATGTACAATATCAAGGGATGTTTGAAAGCCCCTCGGTGGTGTGTTGACAAGTGTAGTATCGTCAACAAGCAAGACTCTTGGAATATCCTTACCATATGCACGAATGCCACATTGTGCTTGTTTGAGGGCTGTAATGAGATCATTTATTAAAAAAAGACAAAAAAAACCTCATCCATAGATTACTCTGCCTTAGCCAACATCTAGTCTGGTTGTTCACCTTGGTAGGAAATAGAAGCATAACTATTTGCATAACACTGATCTAGTAATTTCCATGTATTACTATTCAACACAGTCTAATTTACAAAGTTTGCATTTTCTTAAATTTCTTGGAATTTTATAATGACGTCCATTCTCAATTTCCAAAGTATGACAACTCAGTCTGAATCTCGTGAGGGTTGTTCTCATATTTTGCGAATTTAAGAATGACAAATAAGGTTCACATTAAACATAAGTTTGAAAACAAGCATAAAATGACATTTTTGAACTTGCAAGACGTTCGCTATGCCAGACCTGCTGAAAATTGTCTTTTAAAAGCTGTTTAAACATATTAAGAAAAACCTTTCGGTTTCCATACATTTGGAACCTGCATACATCTCCGAACCCAAGTTACAAAGACAATTCCTTAATTTAGTTACCCAATTGACACGACCATGTTCATCATACTTGCGAATGTATACCTCTGAGGATAGTTATCCATACCCTTTATGCCTGCAGGGCAATCTTATCAAGAGTCTTAGACCAATTAAGCCTGTTATTAAAATACAAACCCAAGTAAGTATAACCGCAAGCAACTTCAACCCTTTTCCCTTTGTAAAACCACTTTTCGAAACGTGACAAACCACCACCATTCTTAAATACAACAACTTTGGTGTTGGACATATTAACTGACATTTTCCGAGTGTTACAAGAATTCTCAAGGTCGCTTAGTTTCTTCTGAAGGTTAGAAACACTATCATCAACGAGTATCAAATCATCTGCAAATAGAAGTAACAGGATGGGGATAATGTCTGGATGGAGCTGTACACCAAACGGACACTCCTCTTCCATCTCAAGAACTATTTCATTTATAAAAAAACTGGAACAAGAACGGGCTAAGTACACAGCCTTGCGTGACACCCAAAGGGCAATCGAATGCCTCAGACATACGATTGTTAGACCTTACACTTGCCGTAACGTTCTTGTAGATTGACTGCAACATTCTACCCATTTTTGTACTTAATCCCCGTTTATAAAGCAAATTCCAAAGAAGGTTACGGTGTATGGAATCGAACGCCTTAGAGAAGTCAATAAAAGCGACGTAAAACTTACCCCCTTTACGTGAAAGGAATCGTGGTACACTAGCATTATGGACAAAACAGTTATCTACAGTGGAATACCCCTTCCGAAAGCCTGACTGGCATTCAGAAATAACACAAAGCGTGTCTGTCCAGAAAACTAATCTCTTGCATAGAATTGAAGTGAATACTTTGCTAAGGACACCCGATAGTTATCTGGAACTGTTGTGTCATCTTTCTTATGCAATGGAATGATAATTCCTAATGACCAATTTTCAGGAAAAACACCATTTTCATACACACTATTGAATATAATCTCCAAGTAAGGAGAAATAACATCTGATGAGTGTTTAAGGTATTCGCTTATGATATGTTCAACTCCAGCTGATTTATTGTTCTTTAATGCACGAATACTGTCTGTGATTTCTGATCTTGTTACAGGGCAGTCAAAAATGTAATTTGTGGTCAATTAAAGAAGATCTTCAACACCTTATGTTGCATATTGTTTTGAAATGTTTTACTCAATGAACACGTTCCATTATTTACATATCACATTCAATTGCACACAGTATTGCACATAACATTTATCTATGTTACATGTATATGACCGGTACATGGACTATTTAAAACCCATTCCAGTCTGGCTTTCATGGCATGTATAATGGTAACTTCTGTTTGTTAAGCATCTGTGTGTGTTAAAACACGTGTTATTTTAAAGGTAAATATAACTATTTACTTGTCTGTTCAGGTAACTAATTGTTTCCTGAGTAAACTATTATTTAAAACATTAGCTTACCTCTAGATGAAATGTGTGATCCTGGATGGCAAATTGTCATGTCAAAGTAACCAAGACATTACAGGCATACAACTATCATTTTGTGCTATGTGACACCAGATGTTGTAATCAACTAATACTCATGTCGTAAACAACTATTGTTGTAGAAATATGAAACGCCAATGCTAGAGAATAACCGTTTCAATTTTCCAACGAAACAGATTCCATTTGGCGCAATAGGTAATCAAATTATATAAATGGATTGCTGAAATTCAATGATGATGCCAGGTGTTCGCACAAAGGGTAAGTCTTTGCCTCAGATGAAGTTATGACGCAACCAGAACCGTAATCTCTTAGAATCCTTGATTGCAAGCTGGGACGTTGTCAATATATCATTTGTAAATTGTATGGACGCGTAGAACGCATTTACAGAGAGTATTGAACGGTTTCTTCACACAAAGTCATTTTAATTGGGGACTACAATGTCAGGACATATAATCTATGCGAGTACGACATTCTTGACGAATACATAATTGAAGTGTTTCATTTGGATATTGATGAAATGAGATCAGAACTTAACCCTGAATCTGTGTTCCATGAAGTTGAGTTGCAACGCGTGAGGGCATGACAAAACACAGGACAAAACAAGAATAAATAACTTATTGAAATCTGAAACAAAAAAAAATCTGTTTATTGGGAATGACAGGCTAGGAAATGATAAAATGACAGGTAAAACTGCTTGTAAAGATAAAAGTGTCTGATTCTAATATAATTGACTACTCCCCTCTCTATTCAGACGTCCACCGCCCACTCACCCGTGCACTGCCCAGTCACCTCTCTATACAGACGTGCACCGCCCACTCACCTCTCTATTCAGACGTCCACCGCCCACACACCCGTGCACCGCCCACTCCCCTCTCTATTAAGACGTCCACCGCCCACTCACCCGTGCACTGCCCAGTCACCTCTCTATACAGGCGTGCACCGCCTACTCACCTCTCTATACAGAAGTGCACCGCCCACTCACCTCTCTATACAGACGCGCACCGCCCACCCCCTCTCTATACAGACGTGCACCGCCCACTCCCCTCTCTATACAGACGTGCACGGCCCACTCACCCGTGCACTGCCCACTCCCCTCTCTATTCAGACGTGCACTGCCCACTCACCCGTGCACTGCCCACTCACCTCTCTATACAGACGTGCACCGCCCACTCCCCTCTCTATTCAGACGTGCACCGCCCACTCACCTCTCTATTCTGACGTGCACTGCCAACTCCCCTGTCTATTCAGACGTGCACCGCCCACTCACCCGTGCACTGCCCACTCACCTCTATTTTCAGACGTTCACTGCCCACTCCCCCGTGCACCGCCCACTCCCCTCTCTATGCAGACGTGAACCGCCTACTCCCCTCTCTATTCAGACGTGCACTGCCCACTCACCCGTGCACTGCCCACTCCCCTCTCTATTCAGACGTTCACTGCCCACTCCCCCGAGCAATATTCAAACTATATGACGGCGGTCTGTAAATAATCGAGTCTGGACCAGACAATGCAGTGATTGATATCATGAACATCGATCCCCGGAATTGAGATACGATGACATGAATCAACCAAGTCACCGAGCCTGACCACCCGATCCCGTTAGTCGCCTTTTACGACAAGCATGGGTTGCGGAATACCTTTTCTGCCCCGGATCTTCATGGGTCAATTGATACATATAATGGCCGACCATGCATCTATACAAATGTCACTAACAAACTTAAACATAACAACCTTGATACATCGGATATATACGTAAAAAATATAAATGTTGAACAGATTAATAAACTGACAAAGACAATAACAATACAAGGATTTAGTTTTTTTTATCGTATATCAAGAAATGGCATCACTGTATGGTTAGTATTACTCTATGCGGACGATATTTAGCGATACCCAATTTGGATTACCAAAATCGATTCCTTTAATCAATATTGCTTACAATGGAAGCTAAATGTAAATATCCTTTGGAAGGGGCCCAGCCGAATCAACCAAATCGATATTTTATTTTGAGGAAAAGATACTGGAAATTGTTGATAATTACACATATTTAGGTATAAATCTTCTCAGAAATAGAAAATGCGTGTTTTTTTTATGAAATCACTGAGAGCAAACACGACAAAAGTAATGTACTGCCTAATGAAAAGAACACGAAATGTTAACCTATCATTAGATTGTCTATTGAAGGCGTTTGATGTGATGGTAGTGCCAATCCTTCTCTTCTGTTCCGAAATATGGGGTTTTGAAAGTTTAGAAATAATAGAGAAAATGCAACTGAAAGTTTTAAGAATAGTACCTGGTCTGAGGAATTCATCAGCCAATTTTGTGGTTTAAGGGGAACATGGCAGTGAATCCCTCAAAATTAAAGTACTTAAACGGATGATCTTCTTCTTGCATAAATTAACGAATTTTAACGGACCCACAAAGTTATCTAATATGTTATATAATTTTATAATATTTGATACAAGACTATGATGCAAATTCAGTAAGAACAGTAAAAAATACTAAATGATGTCAGACTGTCAGAAGTATATAAAAATCCATCTACTTGCTCAACTTCATGGCTGGTTTCAAAGGTCAAGAGTATTCTTCAATACCAATTTATTCAACAGTGGCAAGAATGAATCTTGTCAAGGTTTATATTACCAACATTTAAAAAAATACCAAAATTCGAAAATTGCCTATTACTTCCGAAAAATATATACCTGCCGATTTTACAATTCCGTACATCGAATCATCATTTGCCCATTGAAACCGGTCGATGACAAAGGTTACTGAGGGAAGACCGTGTCTGCACACTTTGCAATTCTTCCGCTGTTGGATACGAGTTTCACTTTTAGGTGTGAAGCACTTCTCAAACAACGACTTCGTTGCACCCAAATCAGTAAAAAATACTAAATGATGTCGGACTGTCAGAAGTATAAAAAAACCCATCTACTTGGGAGAAGAGAGAGAGAAATAAGACTGAAAAACTGAAGAAGGCATTTGGGATTCTTTCTATGCAAACGAGGTTGTTCCATTTATCAAAGTATGCATGTGTTTGTTTGAAAGGAACACGCTCTTCATGGATTTTTATCATTCGAAGATATGCACACGCATAAAATCATTTCCACGTTGAAATAAAATATAAATACAAAATCCTATAAACATGGTAAAACCACCACACCATACCTGGTTCATTAGGTTGTTATACAATTTCTTAAACAAAAGCGACAACGCATTGTTCAATACCGACTGTATCATCATTATGTGTCTGTCTATGCATCAGTGTTAAATAGGATGCATATGTTTGTGAAGGCGACACAACGCCATCGGGGAGTGTGTGTGTGTGTGTTGGGGGGGGGGGGATGTGTCATTCGAGCAACTTGCACATCCCACGACGCCAAACACATACGCCTACAATGCATTCATCAATTTTACGACAAACATGTTAGAACTAACAATGAAACATGAACATTTAAATAGTAAAATAAACCGGGAGTCATCTGAGCTCGGGAAGACACTTGGGCCTACGAGGGTGGAGTGCTCTGAGTCGAGGGGACGGTGATCGGAGCCAATGGTCAAGTCATTCGAGAGTGATCAAAGCCTAGGTCCAAATCAGTTTGAACCGGTAAATGAGATGGGCATCATACACGCGCTGGGCCTGCAAGCTGGTAGGGTATCATCACCAGCCGGGTACAGAAAGTACACGTTTCATAAGTTGAGGGGAGAGCTATAAGGGAAATTAAAAATAACGGTATGGATCCATGTTTGTCAAGAGTATGACTCGTGAGCGCGTGTCAACTAACCTTGATCTAACATCATTCTATGTTTGTAAAGTTTTAAAATATTATCTTTTTCAATAAGGGGGGGGGGGGGGGGGGGGGGGGGTTGATCTTTGTAGCCAATTGGGGCCAATTGTACTCATTCATCTCACAACTACATGCACATGCAGGAGATTATTGCATAATGTTTACCAGCAGTCATACTGTTCATGTATCATTTATACACCTGCCATGTGTATTGGCCATGTGAGAGCTGGTAAAACAAATCTACGCCTAACAAACAAATCCAACAATTGTGTGAGTGCTGTTAATTATATTTTTAAACATAATCTCCCTGTTTATGAATACATTTCTCATATCGATAGTGAAGCATTTCAATTCCGGTCAGGAAAAGTTTTCTTAAGCCACCCTGAAAACCCCGTTCATGAGAGCTTTGAGATCATCGTTGTCGTGATAGCACTTTCCACGAAGGTGTTCTTTCAGTTTAGGAGACAGGTGAAAATCACTTAGTGCCAGGCCTAGCGAGTATGGAGGATGAGGAAGCTCTTTGAACCCTCATTGTCACACATCAGCCTTTGCAAGTCGAGGTGTGTGAGAAGAGGCTTTGTCATGAAGTAGTATTCCTCAGAGCTTTTCTTTGATAAAATACCTCAGGCGAGGAATCAAACCAAATAGGCACTGGTAATCGTATTTTGACTTTCTTAGCAATCAACAAGGATCACACTCTTTGCATCCAAGAATACAGTGGCCATAACTTTCTTCACTGATCTTGATGAATGTCTTTGATGCTGCCGCAAAAGCGGAATGGTGACTCGGTATCATAGTAGTAGACTCATGTTTCGATACCTGCTACTAATAGCTTTTAGAATTTGACGAAATCCTCCTCAATAAGATATAATTTCTTTCTGGCAAAGACAGTTCTTTTTTCCTTAAGATCAGAATCTGGAAACTTTGGTACCCCACGAGCAGATATCTTATTCAAAACTAAATGTTCAGGAATACAAGTTTCAATCGATCCATAGCTTAATCCTGTGTCTTCTTCAAGTTCAGCAATGGTAATACGCACAACGTTTGGCTTTCTCGCACAATAAGCTGACATGCTATGATATAATTGGAATATTGTTCAAAGCGGCGTTAAACACAACTGTCTGACTGACTACATGATGCTTTAAACAAATATTACCATAACTATTCACACAATATGTCTTGAACTATTGGTGCCCAGTTTATTTTTCCATGGTTGTAGTCGAGAAGCGTCTTATACTGTGCCAAAAATGAAGTGATATTGAGATTCCCATAGAAATATCTTCTGATCTATATCGTATTGGCAAATGGAAATGATATTATCATATCTGCTAGGAAGTGGGTTGTTTAAAATGGGTTTGCTTCAAAAATATTATTTAGGATATTAGTTATCAATTAGAATGGTGGGCTGTGTGGGGTTTTCCAAAAAGCACAGCAATCAATGGTAACATCTGTTGGTAAAAGAATTTTAGTTGTGTTTCAAATGATAATGTCCTGAAAAATATAATGTAAAAAATTAGTTTTCAAGATATGAAGTGGATACTGCGAAACCTAGTTGCAAAACAAAATGGCCTATTTTCAGTCACGATGTGCCGAATTAGAATGGTGGGCTGTGCACGGTTCCCCCAAAAGTACAGCAATAAATGGTAACATCTCTTGGAAAAAGAACTTGACTTTTGTTTAATGTGAAATTGCTAAAAACGATTATTAAGAATATTAGTTTTCAAGATATGAAGTGGATACTGTGAATCTTCGCTGCAAGCCATGGTCTACTTTCATGAATGGTGGGCTGTGTGCAGTTCTCCAGAAAGCACAGCAATAAATGGTAACTTCTGTTGAAACAGGAACTTGACCTTTGTTTGAAATGGATTTGCTTCAAAAATATTATTTAGGATAAACATATCATCGAACATATCAAAAAACATATCCTTCAGACTGGCCAGATCGATTTACAATTGAACTTCAAGAACACTGGTTTCCTACCTCAAGGTTATAGCTGCCATAAGTTGTGGCAGGGTAACAATTTGAATACCAACATTTGAAACTGCGTCAGCAACATCAAACTAAAAATCATGATAGAAAATATTATAATGTTTAGTAAATTTGAAATTTAAATCCTCGACAAAGCATATTCACGAAGACGTGTCCTACCATGAAGTAGGTCTGTCCTGGAGATGAGAGGGATGCTTGAGTGGCCATTTAGCAGTACGAGAAAAGTCCTTTCGTAACGGTCTCATGCACAAAACAAACGAGAGAGTACCTGTCCATTTAAAATGGACGTATTCTTCACATGTAACGTGACTTTAGATGTTATTGTCTAGAACTACACTGTAGGCATTGCAGATGAGCTAAACGATCCTCACATATATATGACCCAAGTCATTTGTCACATTGAAGGAATGCATGTGTTATATATTCGGTTGGACAGAGTGTGTTGTATTTCTAGAAAATAGTGTACTATGACCTTCGCTGTCAGGCATGGTGTACTGGGGACCTACATTGTCAGACATGGTGTACTGGGGACCTACATTGTCAGACATGGTGTACTGGGGACCTACATTGTCAGACATGGTGTACTGGGGACCTACATTGTCAGACATGGTGTACTGGGGACCTACATTGTCAGGCATGGTGTACTGGGGACCTACATTGTCAGACATGGTGTACTGGGGACCTACATTGTCAGGCATGGTGTACTGGGGACCTACATTGTCAGGCATGGTGTACTGGGGACCTACATTTTCAGACATGGTGTACTGGGGACCTACATTTTCAGACATGGTGTACTGGGGAACTACATTTTCAGACATGGTGTACTGGGGACCTACATTGTCAGGCATGGTGTACTGGGGACCTACATTGTCAGGCATTGTGTACTGGGGACCTACATTGTCAGGCATGGTGTACTGGGGACCTACATTGTCAGGCATGGTGTACTGGGGACCTACATTGTCAGGCATGGTGTACTGGGAACCTCTGTCAGGTATGGTGTACTGGGGACCTACATTGTCAGGCATTGTGTACTGGGGACCTACATTGTCAGACATGGTGTACTGGAGACCTACATTGTCAGGCATTGTGTACTGGGGACCTACATTGTCAGGCATGGTGTACTGGGGACCTACATTGTCAGGCATTGTGTACTGGGGACCTACATTGTCAGGCATGGTGTACTGGGGACCTACATTGTCAGGCATGGTGTACTGGGAACCTCTGTCAGGTATGGTGTACTGGGGACCTACATTGTCAGACATGGTGTACTGGGGACCTACGTTGTCAGGCATGGTGTACTGGAGACCTCTTTCAGGCGTGGTGTTCTAGGGACCTACTCTCTCAGAGATCGACGATTTGACGATTCTGACTGTATGTGTTTATCAATCACTATCAAAGAATGATGAGAGTGTTCACGAAGAGGTAAGACCACGAGGCGCCTTATCGTTGAAATGGTAAGTTAGACCATGAGGCCAACGATTAGAACACAAAATCAATGAGCTCTAACCTAAAAGCATTGCCAACACTCAAAGATCCCCGCGTGCGACATACGCTTGCAGCCGGAAAGCGCACGTAAAATCTCCAATATAAGTAAGTAAGTCAGTAAGTCAAAGATCCCAAGCACTTAAAATGTGTAACCGTTGTTAGAAAGATGTTCAGGAAAAATGTGCTTCATCGTGAGAATAATGAGTAGGTCGCCTTTGCGTGTGATGTGTTTGCAGCCGTGCGTTACGGGCAAGTATACAATTCATATAAGACCATCTCGAGTATGTTTACACCCGGGCGCTGATCAACCAGCAAAGTCGATATATTAGCACTTTTAACTAACCTAAATAAGTTTTAAAACAAATGCATATCAAATATTCCTTTATAATAAAGTTTGTAATATACCCCGCGTCCTTTAGGATTAAAATGGAAAGTAAATATAATAAGCTTGTCAAACATAGTCGTGTATGCAAATATTGTAAGTAATATCCATAATTATGCAGTAACCGTTCTTCACGCCCGAATATTTAACTGAAATAATTAATTAATACCAATCCGGTGTACTTAATTTAAATGCATCTGTCGAGGTCATGTATATATTTCTTATTTCAAGGTTCATAATTTGCAAATTATGCTTCTGTGGCTTAGCTGTCATCATTCGATATGGGCGGTAACTTGAAGCTGAATATACTAATGATGGTGGCAATAGCAAGTTGATATTCAGTTTTCTATTCAGAGCTCGAAACTGAATTTAAATATTCGGACAGTTTATTAACTTTAATGTAATTAATACTTTTATAAAGGGATATGGGTTATATATTGGTAGCTTGTGGTTATTTAAGCTTGTTATTTCAAGATTCATAATATGCAAATTATGTTTCTGTGGTACTAAAGAGTTATCATTCGATATGGGCGGTAACTTGAAGCTGAATATACTAATAATGATGGCAATAGCAAAATGATATTAAATTTTCTATTCAGAGCTCGAAACTAAATTTAAATATTCGGACAGTTTATTAACTTTAATGTAATTAATACTTTTATAAAGGGATATGGGTTATATATTGGTAGCTTGTGGTTATTTAAGCTTGTGAACAGTCCCTGTATCAATAGTCATGATTCAGATCGTCATGAAGTCACTGGTCCTCTTAATGTTGGGTAAGTTACATTTAGTATTTTGTTTCATTCTAAAAGTTAACAGCTTAGACATCAGAAATATAGGCATCTGTCTTTTAATCGTGTCTTTGTGGAATGTATTTATACTGCGTGAGTCGCCCTTGCGTGATGCACGAGGTGTGCGTTCTCTGCCGCTGTTGTACGTGCCCCAAGCCCCGTCGCGAGTTGACATTTACAATGCATGGTTCACGGCTCTTCATATTTTCGTTAGGTCCTTAACTAGCACATTGCACGCTTGCACATTGTCAATACATGCTGACGGAATAATAGGAGATATAGAGCCCCGAACCAGAAGCATTATGCAAAATGATTAAAATATTTAATAGTTAATTTCACACCATACCTTCTTATGCTGCCGTAGCTGAGGTTGACAATTACAGGTTCTCAAATTAAACGATACGGGTTCGAACCCCGCTGGCGACACATGTTTCGGAAAAAAATATGAAATTGTTCACTTGTCAATAAATGTGAAGAAATAGTTCCGTCTATTCCAAGTGGAAATTAATTCAAATCCGTTTTTGAAATAGTGCTGGGAGAATAAACCATGAGGGGTGCAGTCCATCTTACGAACAGGGGGGTTAAGTTTGGTGTTTCTATATTCTCACAATCCTCACGTCGGTTATACATAATTTTTGTCCCAATGCTGATATACCTTCCACTTGGTTGCAATCGTTCGGCTGCTGCGTTTATCTGCGTAGCCCAGCTACATCAAACGGGAAACAACTTACTAGACACTTCCTTCTAAAAAAACAACGTCGTTCCATATATAACGTCATCAATTTCCGAGTGCGTATTCCAATATCCGGAAATTACGTCACGTGAAACAAACCGCGCATCGTTCTTCGTCGACGTTCTTTGCGATTTATAGCATAGCTATCTTATATATGAGGATAGCACACACAATGTTATGCTTAAATGCTGCAGTTTTAAACATTTGCATTGCATCTTATGCGATAATAAAAATCTATTTTCTTTATTTATGTAAACAATTTTCATATAAGCAGTAGGTTATGATTTTTTGATTTTTTGTGTGACTTATGATATGAAATAGGACAGTAAGAGATATTTATTGATGGAAAAAAGCAAAATGCAAATTCTGTGATGAAACATGATAGCGTGTGCATAAATTTACATGAGCCATGAAAGAAATAATCCATATGACAATCTAATTAATCAATCTATTATTTGATGTAAGAAATAGATATTAAACGTCAACACCAGAGAATTTTCTGAGCCAAATCATATTAAAATAGCGGTAAAATATGATAAATGGCTTACTGAGAATCAGTAATTACACCAGATGTTCGCAAACATCTGTTATCTTATGTGATGTCTTTCATTCCACTTTGAGACTATGTCGAAAAAAATCCCCAGATATTTAACAAAAGCGCTTGTACATGATTTTAAGCAGATAATGGTGTCTCGCGGAACTGGAACAAATCGTTGTAATATATATATTACAACGATTTGTTCCAGAACTCAAAAACTCGTGAACAGGTCGCTTCGCTCTAGAAAGATATATAGAATGCAAAGCAAACTTCCGTGCAATACCAATTTAATGAAACTCGTGAATACCTCTAGTATCTCACGAGCGAATGAAACTCATAAGTATCTCTGGTATCTGACGAGCGAAAGCAAGTCAGATACCAGAACTATTCATGAGTTTCATAAAATTGGTTTTACACGGAGTGAGTTTGTGAATAATCAGACACCTACACAATTCACAGCTTAATATAATTAAACTTCAAACACGTCTTAAGTTGAAAGGTATTAATTTAATACCATACAACGGCTCACCATTAGAATTCAAGCTCCCGTTCCACAAAGTTATCGTGGCGCTAAGGTTACTCGTTACTCTAACTACCATACTTTAACAGAAACCTACGACTGTCGTTGCGCTACAGTACGATCGACTTTTGGGACGGGGCCTTGTGCCACAAAGTTTACAATCACGTCACAATACCCTATGACGTAAGTTGTGGAATTTTGTTGCAAGGTCAGCTGGCGACACAATGTCATGTGACGTCAACCCAGCAACAGGTTGCTGGGGACATCGAGTGTGCATTGGTTCCTCTCAGTGATCTATCATCTGAACACCCAATATCACTGAATAAGCCAGTGACATGTTGAGAGCCTTCAATATTTGTTCGTGAAACTTGATCCCACAGTACATCAGCAGCATTGGTATTATCCAATGTGCATTACAGCATGTTTATTAAATGGGTGATCTCTTCAAGGGTAAGTCATAAACTAGAATATGATACACATTGCATCTGACATCATTTTGGTCTCAGATGCGTCAAATTTGGAAATGTTTTGAAAGCTTATGACCGTAAATGATGTAACCCTAATCAAACGCAAGAGTGGTTTATGCAATCATTACGCAATGGTAACATAAAAAAGAAATGCTTTGATTGGAAGGCACAGATGAAATATATACATATTTATTTTCGTTTCAGTTTTTGGAACCGTAGCTGCAGATGCCGAGGAAAAACGTATGTTAAATATTTTAAATTCTTTTGAAGCGACATACATTATGCTATGGTAATCAATTTAGAAATGAATCTCATATATGACATATTTGTATGATTTTAGGATTCTAGTTCTCATTTAAATTTTAGGGGATCATTTGTAATCAGAACGACATAACTTCTTCTCAGCACAGGCGATCAACATATTTTTTTCTCGTATTAAAGGATGCATATGTTATCAGAAACTTTGTTTGGCAAACCAGGCAAATATTTTGTAAAATGCAATACACATCTAATATTTAATTCATAAGCAAGTTTCCATGTGAACATTTGTTATTGCTTTTATCACTTCATCACATATTCCAGACACCAATTTTTCTTCATTAAGCACATCTAGTTCTATATAATACGTTAATTTCTGTACTTTATGTTGCAAAGTAAGATGTGCATCCATATGTTTCATCTGTATGCCTTATATATATATATGTCAATTCACTGTTATTAAAAAAAAGAAATCTATCCTCATTTAAAAAAAAAATGAATCAACATGCAAATGTGCTGTTTGGATATTGATATATTGACCTTGCTTTTGCACATACTATCGACCAATTTAGGAACTTTCTGCACCTACAGTAAAAACGGATTGTTGTTATTTGAAAAATCTCTTAAAATTTGGAAGGGAAAATCTGTTTTTCTGTCTCGGAAGCATGTCGCAAAGAAACTCATGTAGTACACGTCAGACTTTTGAAATTATAATACGTTCACATTATCATGTGAAAATACGACCTGAAAGTAAGATGTCAATAGTCATTCTTTTTAATGTAACAGTGACTCCAGAACCGTTTCAATTTCTTGCACACAAGTGGTTAACTGCGTTGTGAAACTATCTATTCATAGCCAACTTTCATGCACAATATTATCACGGACTTAGGCAAGTCCATTCCCACTGCTGAGGACACAATTACATCTAAATGGAAGGTAATCTGTCAACAGTTCATAACAAACAGTATCCGTGCATAGAGCGACGACATGAATCGGAGGTCTGTGATTCGATAGCCTGAGCGAGTCTCACCGACCGACGGGAAAAGAAATGCCCATTGGCCTCACCTATCAGGGTTGAAATCATGTTCACGTACTTGATAGCAATCATGAATGCATTTTTCCGATCACCGTGTGGACATTGCCATACAATTAAAGAATCGACATTATTCCCAAATAGGATGTAATAGTCCGGTGTCGTGAATTAATGAAACAAAATAGCTATCAGACGTGTATATTTAGGTCGATGAATATTTCAATATTTCATTTTCTCAGTTTTCAAACATCATGGTGTGTCACGTGTGAGGAAATTGTGATCTGTGATTCCATTACATGAGTTTGTTTCAGGGCTTGATGATATAAAGACAAATCTTCAAAGAAAAAGTAAGTAACAAAATAAAGGAGTGAAATATGTCTTTGTGTCGATAAAGAACACGTTCTTCACGAACAATCTGTGAAATTAGGAAAATATTTATTATATGTTAAACAGGACCAGTCACTTCCAACTCAAAACCGTCATGGTACGACCCGGAATATGTAGAGGGCGTCGTGGAAAATGATGAATACAAAATGCTTTGGAATAGCCCCTTATACAGCCTCAGACATATCCAGGCCAACAAACCTGATCTTGTCCTTTTTGATAATCCAATGAAATCATTTATATCATTGAATTTTCTGTCCCTTTTGACAGTATGTGATTGACAAGATTGAGGAAAAACATGGCAAATATGCGGACCTTGCTTTCGAAATGTCACACTTGCTTCCCAAGTACCAAGTTGTCCGACTCCCCATTGTTCTCGGTGCCTTAGGTTCTGGTACCTCCCAATCTGTTGATTGACATTGGGAGAGTACCCGGGTTTGCTACCAGGAATACAGCCCTTCTGACAATCTGGGTAATGCAGAAGGCTGCAGTGTTGGGGAGTCTTTACGTTCTCCGAAAAGTTCTGGGTGGGTTTGACTAGGCAGCGCTTCCTGGGAGAAGTCCCATTCGCTGCCTGGGCTGCGTGTAGAGGGGGCAAGGGCCTTGAGCTGATAACGAGCCTAACCAGCCTGACTGTGCCAAACCCAAACCCAAACCCAAACCCATTTACAACCTCAGACGTATCCAAGCCAACAAACCTGATGTTGTCCTTTTTGATAAATCCAATGAAATCATTTATATCATTGAACCTATGGGAACCTATCTGCCCAGTGCTTAGATTTTTTTTTTTTATCTCTGTCAGTGCTGATTATCGAGGTGGCTTCCATTTGCCTATTGCTATTTCAATTCTTTTACCTGTCAGTGCTAATAACCCCCAGACTTCCGTGTTCTCATAGTCCATTGCCAATTACCAATCAGTGAGAATTTAAGTCCTGGCTTCCAGTTGTCCATAACTATTAACTATCAGCGCTAATTGCTGTTAAGTGTTGGCTTCCATTATCTATTGCTCATCACCTATCACCGCCAATTATCTGTTGGCTTCCCTTGTTAAGTTTCCACATTTTCTTGTTCTTACACATACATATATATGCTCTCTGCCTCATAGCATTCATTCACCTGATGAAGGAGTAAGTATATATGCGTTTGACACAATGTGTCTATCTCTAGCAATAATGCTTGGTTTCCCCAGCTGAGGGAAGAACAGACACACGTCTTTAGTTCTGTCAAAAAGCATCATATTAAATCAAACGCCCACACATGTACCAACATTATAATGACACACTATTTTAAGCAATTGTGTTTGTTTGTCCAGTCAATGGAGCCGTTCACACTGACAACTTTGCAAAAGGTACGTTCAGACAGCATACTCAATATTTCTTTTCTATTTGTATCTATACAGTTTATATATGCCTACCACTTTATCCTTCAAATGTTACAGTGATATTTGTCTTTGGGACACAATTGTCTAATGGTGAGAAATATAAAATATCAGTGTCTTCGTGAAATGAATATAACAAGTTCTAATATATTCAGTTGAGATGAGAGAAACTGCTATTACTATGCATTTCCCTGTTGTAAAACATATGAAATGGGTCTTTCATCTTTTCAGTTCTCCGTGAAATAAGAGACGATGATGTTTATGAAGGTAAATACTTCATTCTTTATTGTTTGGCGATGGACTTTAGCACTTCTACCGCAGTGACGAGAAATAACATAAGTATAGTTACGCAAATAAATAGCTTTGATAAAAAACAACAACAAAAAAGGTAGTTTACACGATTCTGCTTTCAATTTGCAGTTCTTGGCCAACTTCCGTTGGAGGATCGCAAGAAGCGTATGTACTATTTCATTGAACGTTTGTGGACATAAGTCACGCTTTATAATGATACATAACCTCAGTACTATTATGAAACAAATAGTTTTTATTCAATACTAAGTGTTATCACACTATGGCGGGAAATGAGTAAGCTCTATACATGGTTACCAGCGTACCAAAGTACTATAAAACAAATAGTTCTTATTCAATACTAAGTGTTATCACATTTAGCGGGAAATAATAAGCTCTATACATGGTTACCAAAGGCTCGTATCATACTATTTCTATTTCCAATAGATTTGTGCAATACGAAAGCACACCCGGATATATGGTGCACACACCTATATAATTATGATCAGAGTTTGTATGATGTCTTACTTTTTCAATAAATCATCCTTTGCTTTTGTTTTCCAGTTTGTGAGCTGATGCCACCGAGTCGCATCGTGGAATGTAGGTATTAACAAAGAAGATAATGCTGATATGCCCAACTATTGAACTAAGCTGTCATACTATGCTCTATTTATCTGTAAAGCATCTTGTATAAACGTTATATTTTTTGAAATCTCCACATTAGTTAAAAAGGGAATATTTCGTTATGAAGTATCGAGCCCATACACAAATAGCTGTTTAATTTACATTTTAGCAGGAACTGTTTGCAGGTCAAACTTTAAAAGGAAAAATCTTTTTTAAAGGAAATGAGGATTTGCATTCAACATGTGAAACTATATAAATGATGAAAACAGGCAAGTGTAAAGTAATTTATTAACTTAAGGGAATCACCCCCAAACTATTCATTATTTGCTGAGGAGAAAACAATCGCTCTTTAAATTTCAAGCTCAGTTCATTTCAAGGCAATAATGGTATATTTTGATGTTACAGATTATCAAAGGTTACCTGTCGAGGATAGGATAAAAGGTCTGTACTGTAAAATATCACTTTACAATTGTTGATGTCTTTTTCATAATTTGACCTATAATACAATATTTCACGCATTACTGACCAATGTAATGCATGTTTATTAAACCCCTAGATTTCTCATTCATCACAACTGCTTGCACGTGTTACCCCAGGCTCTTGAATAAGTAACGTTTTTATGTTAACACAAAAATGATGAATTTGCTTCCATGAAATTGGAGCGACAACTTGAGTATGTAACTGTAGTCACCAACTGAAATGCAACAACTAACACACAATATACCTTGAGAAGTATGTTCACCCAAAACATAAATAACACGAAGATGTCGATTGTATTCCAGTTTAGAAAATTTGATTTATTTAACTCATTTGAGTCAGATGACTTGTTTCAGCTAAATCCAATGAACAAAACTTGTTTCACTTTCATCTAAAGATTTTAACTTTTGTACGGTGCATGCCATGAATTTAACATTTGTAAGACACATTCAATGAACCAAATTTGTTACATCCGATGAACTGAAGTTGTTCTAGTTACTTCAGAAAAAAATGTCAGAAGATATAAAATTTGTTTGAGCTACAACCTATGAATTTAACTTGTTTCAGTTCAATTTGATTCAGATGACGAGCTCCTTAATGATGGTATGTATAATCATATTCGTGTTTGGTGATTTTTCTCAATACCAATCTAATCCAAAGGATTGTCATTACAATATATTATCAACATAACACAAAACTTGAGAAGGTATGTAAGAGTCTATACATTAAGCTTCATTTTGAAATGTCTGAAAGACATTTATTTTTGTTGTTTTTAGATAAAATGTCTGAACAATCAATATGTGTGTCAATGTTTGTTACATATACTAGAAATGGAAAATAAGATTCACTGCAATTTTTACAAAATAGATAATTTGCAAAATAGAGTTGAACATGTCTTCATTAAATGGCGTCAAAAATTGAATGAAGTTCTAGAAAAAGAATCGTGGAGTCATCATTGAGAGAGAAGAATCATTAATTTTTTAGGCAGAGATTTCTTTTGTTTATAGAAAGCGTTTTGTTTATTTATTTGTATTTCAACAATTGGGTAAAGAAATGAGCGACAATCGTCAACGAATTTAAAGCAACAAACAATTTTGTGTGTGATTATATATATCTGTGATTGATCGTACTGGAAATGCGAAAATATGAAATATGAACGTAACAGGTGACTGTAGAAAGAGTTAACAAGAGTAAATGGGCGGTTGAGTTGGCTTTGAGGCATTTATAAACGCCATTCCAGTCATACCATTGCATGTTCGCTTACTTCATTACAACATCTCTAAAACCCACGAGCGTGTGTATGGTGCTATCTAACCAATTGCATCAGTGCTAAACCTGGATGTTAACAAACGTTCGGCTCATGATGCACCTATGGAAATCAACCATGAACATGTCTTATATGCCTGAACCACGCATACCCCAACAAATGTAAATGGATGCTGCAATAGTGCATATCATCTTGTATATAGTGGGCGAATGACTTGTCGTAATATAAATACAGTTACGACCACCCATGATACAATCTAAGAGGAGCATAGTTGAATGTGAAGAGCTATTTCCCTTAATCGTATGGGTCCTAGTGTAGAATACCAGAATCTCTTATTATGGTACCTAGTTCCTCACCCTGTATTACCAACCTCGGTGGTCATGTTGAGCTCACCTCCCACATTAAATTGGACCCGTGAAGATCTGGGTAGAGAATAGGTCTTCAGGATCCCATGCTTGCCATAAGAGGAGACAATGCTGGTCCCAAGAGGCGACTAACGGAATTTGGTTGTCAGACTCGCAAACGAGGTTGATGCATGTCATCGTATCAGAAATGCGGGGAGATATGCTCATGATATGCTCTAGATTATTTAGAGACAGCCGTCTTAAAGCTGGAATATTTTTGCGTGCCACGTTAAACAACAAACAAACAAACAAACACTAAAACTGACGTGCAATCACTCAACATATATCGTTATACCACACTCACAAACCACAATGTGTGACCATGTTATACATATATATGTTAATGTTTTGGATAACAGGTATATATTTACATTTTCCTTTCCTTCAGATGACAGGCTTGGAAAACTGGACGAGTGTAAGCATACAACAATAACAGAGATTTACCATGCTAAGTGTGTATAGGCTTCTTACAAAACTGGGTAAAGGTACCGTGAGTATGGTTTTACACCGCTTTTAGCAATTTTCCAGAAATATCACGGCGGGAGACACCAGAAATTGGCTTCATACATTGTGCATATGTGGGGAATCGAACCCGGGGCTTCAGCGTGACGAGCGAAAGCTTTAACCACTTTGCTACCTCATCGCCTCGAGAAAAGGAAGAAGTACAATACTGGATTAATATTTTAATGTCTTTAAACGTGACAACAGAAGTTGAACTGATCATGCATATCCTGTCCTTTTAATTACAAGATAATTATGTCTGAATGTCAGCTAATATGTTTACTTGCAAGTATTACGCTACTATTATGTATCAGCAGTCGCTATGTTGTACTGATTTATGTGCCAAGTGTACATTTCTTCCTTGTACATGTAAGTGACTCTTTCGTGTGTCTTTTACCCTGAATGTAATGTTTCGTCTTTGTTTACTTCAAAGTATCCGTCACATTTTCTTGAACAAAGTGATGGTGATTTTAAAATCACTGCACACGTGTAGATCTGTTTTAAGAGACGCTCCTTTTATCATTTTAGTTCTTCGAACGTTACCATACAAAGTACAAAGGGAAGGTAAGTACACACCAAACAATAAGAATGTGAGCTACTGGTACAACATTCCAATTGACCTTTTCCACACTTTCGCCATCTTGGATCGAAAACGAGGTTTGGGGAGCATAGCTCCATGCAGTGACAATCGCATCAGCTGATCGGAAACAGAGAGCATGTTGTAATCGGGACAAATAAACCATGAATATGGTATTTTATGTGTCTCATACAGAGGTTATTGCACATTTAATGCTAATGTCTGAATAGGATAATAACATATGTGTGTTGGTTCAATTAAATGGTTCTGATTAACCTAATGGAGGGATAGAAGTGAGTGTCTGATTCACAGCTATCTAAAATAATCCGGATACCTCACATTTAACAATACAGATTTCACATACTTTTAAAAAATGCAAACCAAACTTAAATTTTCATGTCTTTATTTCAAAAATTTTTTCTTACTTGTAAACAATTGGTACAATGTGTTTTATTCATACATCATAAGTATGATAAGTATTGGCCATGTGGCAAGCTGAGAGAGAGAGAGAGAGAGAGAGAGAGAGAGAGAGAGAGAGAGAGAGAGAGAGAGAGAGAGGGAGAGTGAATATGGCTTTTCACTTCTAATCCTGTTTCAGTGAAATGTGACAGGAAGCGCATTGCAACCAGCGTGTTGCTATTAGTAGAAGCTCCTCCAGACCCTATCCCCCGAGATGTTTCAGTGTGTTACTATCAGTAGAAGCTCCTCCAGACCTTCATCCCCCGAGATGTTTCAGTGTGTTACTATCAGTAGAGGCTCCTCCAGACCTCCATCCCCCGAGATGTTTCAGTGTGTTACTATCAGGAGAAGCTCCCCCAGACCTCCATCCCCCGAAATGTTTCAGTGTGTTACTATCAGTAGAAGCTCCTCCAGGCCTCCATCCCCCGAGATGTTTCAGTGTGTTACTATCAGTAGAAGCTCCTCCAGACCTCCATCCCCCGAGATGTTTCAGTGTGTTACTATCAGTAGAAGCTCCTCCAGGCCTCAATCCCCCGAGATGTTTCAGTGTGTTACTATCAGTAGAAGCTCCTCCAGGCCTCCATCCCCCGAGATGTTTCAGTGTGTTACTATCAGTAGAAGCTCCTCCAGACCACCATCCCCCGAGATGTTTCAGTGTGTTACTATCAGTAGAAGCTCCTCCAGGCCTCCATCCCCCGAGATGTTTCAGTGTGTTACTATCAGTAGAAGCTCCTCCAGACCTCCATCCCCCGAGATGTTTCAGCATACATCTCCATGAAGTAGGGGAATCAACAGAGTGGACTCTGCAGACTTTGTTCAATCTCTTGATTCAAAGCCTGAAATAAATATTTCGATGATTTCGTAATAATATTTCTACTTCTATGATTTAAAAAAATAACAAATAAATATTCATCTTCGCTCAAAATATTTCTTATTCCGAAAACAATATTCTTCAGATATAAAAAAGAATCTTGGGAAAATTCATCACCATGAATAACATAACATGCCGCTTAGAAAATCTTGAAGGTATGAATTCATCTGAATTGTCTAAACACAACCGATGCACCAATTTAATGACACAGGGTGCACTGCAGTTCTTATATCAATGTTAGAGAAATTCACCCTTGTTGAAAGGAAACACGTTTTTATATTTGCAATATGTATTTAATCATGAAATACTTTGTTGAGTCTGAACATGCTGAAAGGATAATTTTGCTGGTGTGAAATTAATACCATTACTAAAAAAAGGTTCAACATCATGTTTTGTCACACCTACAGCCAGTCTGCCTCATTGGCACTATAGTTTTCTGAGTAGGGTTATGAAGATGACAGAGAAATAGAGGTTATCACGCAAGTGTGTTTGGGGATGGTAAATATCCTGCATTAGGAATAAACATTGTATTTAGTGAGCCTTAGCTTTATCATATATGTCATTCTGTAATTCTGTGCTTGGAAATCGCTTTCCCTCTCTCACAAACATAACCGAAACATTGCGAGTTTTCCTGGAATGCTCGCATTAATATCTATTATGTCACAGGGTAAGTGGTGAGTCAATCGGTTTTTACTTGCATTTCGCGGCAATCCATCAATCTGTCCGCTAGAGTAACTACCCTTTGTCAAAGGGAAGCTACTCTACCCCTAGTCTAGGGGACGTCACGACCACATTCAGACGTTATTGAAAGTCGGCCTGTTCTGTCATAATGTTAAGAAGTGCAGTCAGATGTACATTCAGCGACAAAACGAAACAAGGTAACAATTCAAACATAATTGGGCTAAAACCAACTATTTCAATTTGTTGAAAAGGTTTCAAGCCGTAGTCTACAAGCACAGATATGGCTACTGATCCCGCTTGGCTAGGCCTAGTGCCCTTGGCAAATTTGTTTCGAAATTTATATCTCCAAAGTTGCCAAAACTTTTAAAATGCCTTAGCTACGTCACACTTAGACACTGCTTTTAAGTATATTAGACTGTTCTTTTGATCATTATAGCAAGTAAGTACAACTATCATCTTATATATTAATTAACGTGATAAATAATCAATAAAACGTTACAATGCATTTGCTTGCATAAAAGAAATTATTTTGTTTTAAAAGTGTTCAAAATATGTTTGTGTACATAAAATCAGATGGATGACTACATGAGTACATTACACACAGATCACATGTAGATTGTACATATTCTGACCATTAATTAGTTTTTTGTTTATTTTATAACATGATTATTTTGGTAGAGAAAAGTAAATATCATTTTGTTAAAAATATTGAAGATCAAAATGTTCACTTAAAAATATTTTCACTCCCTTTATGTACTAATTCAGTAAAAATCATACACCTCATGTTATCTAATCTGTCAACATTGACAATTAATATAACTACTGTTCACAACCACAGCAGCACAAGTAGATCTAGATCTCTAAAATGTTATTGGAATTTATATGAGTTTTACATCAAATACACAACTGATGAAAACTTCTTATTTGTTTATGATTGTAAAATCTTAAAAGGTTACAATAAGATAAAAAAGATCAACATATCAATTCAGTTAGTTTCTGATATCTATCTCGATATGGTCAAGGTGAATATTTTCTACTGGCCAAAGACCCAGCTGACTTCAAATACAACTCGCAAAGTTATTCAAACTCACACCTTGACTAAAACAAATAAATAGTTTGAGTAAATGGTTTGTAATGAATGATTCTTTACACATGCATGTAGGATATGTACTAAGTTTGTGTTGAGCTTCTGTATATAAACAGCACTGGTAGTTACCAGGTGGTCATGGATATTTGAAATTGAAATCAAAACATATCGGAATGGTCAAATTGACACAGTTTGTACCGATTGCGTGGCTTGTTGAAATCACCATATGTACCATGTGCTATCCAGCCTTCACCTTATGCACTCCAGGCCTCGCTTTCAATCCGGAAGCAGTGAAGTGTAAAAAAGGTCAATAGTTTTATATACACTGTAATGTAACGTAACAATTCACTGATTGGTATAGTCTAAGTTACACTTCAAATAGTCACTTCTTACAATGAATACAGTAAGTCGTCAAAGTACTGCATTTTGGGGTTGACATTTCACACGCAATATGCTTTTTCACTTTCTTTCTCAAAAAAGAAACTACATTATGTATGGAATACTCAGCCTATGTGACAATGCATAGTGTATTACACACGAAATACATTCACCTTGAATACCCAGGTCCCTGTAATATCTGCATTTCTTATGAAAGTAATTTGACAGAAAATTCTAAAAAACCCTTTGGAAATACTGTAACTGACTCTAACTGATGTTAACCTTGCTTGGACTAAATACATTGTGTTTGATTGTAAGTTATAATTAAGTGACAATACTGCCAAAAAAACACTTAGCTTAATGAACTGGTTTATCTCCAAAAGGATTTACATACTGATGGGAAGAAGGTACAACTAGAATTTCAGATCAAACTTGAACTACGAATTGGAAACCAGTCTGAACCATGACACATGTACAGGTCCAGAAAGAATGAGTCCCTCGTTATAATGTAAGGAACCTTTGCAAAACACCAAGGTCTATGAATAATTATATCTGTTGAACAAATTCCAGTGCCAAAATGATTCAATGTCATTGCATTCTTGATAGCATTCCTAAACCTGTTTCAGTGAATGACCATTTCAACAAGACCAGCATTCTAGAACGTAAGTATTATAAGAAGGTCATTTGAAATATTGGGAAAAGAAGACGTTCATCTGTGTTGTATGAATTTTCCCGTGGAGACTCTGTCCCGAGGGGGGATTGTACAATCAACTCTGCTTTATGCAGAGATTACTTAGGGATTTTTGTGACCAGGAGAAAAATGAAGATTCTGATGTATCAAAATATTTTTGAAAGTAGTTGGAGTATTATTGAGTATGATCATATGACTTAAGCAACCCTTTCTTCTATTAAACGTCAGAAAATGTTGCTATGAGAAAGTCTGCAACCAAAGCTGATTTTTTCCATGATGTTGTTTTATTGTTCTTGTTCTATGCATCCTCTCCCATGAACGTTTGAATGAGTAAATGCCAATCACGACGGGGAAAACAGAGTCGGGCCTTCATACAGTGTACCCATATTGGGAATTAAGTGGCTTTCAGTGTGACGAGCGATTGCTTTCGACACCAGGCCAACCAATCGACTCTAGAAACTCTAAAATAATCTTGTTGGAGCTGATTTGACGTTGTTATGGAAACTATTATGAAATGTACTTGTAAAACGTTGTGTTTAACTCTGATGAACTGGAGGTGTCTTATATCTACTACATAGTCAGATTTGATAGATGGATGTACGGAGGATATCACACGATTGCTATAGAGTGTATACAAATTATGTTTGTGTCTTTCCCTTTCAGTCTATCAGGGCTTCCCGATTCCCAATAATGATTTCAGTAAGTACTTACACAAGGACAATCGTCTTTAAGGACCACTTCGACAATGTGGCCATGTGTTTTAAGTTGAGACAGTATTTTCCCAAATAAATCAAATAAATTTGTACAAAACTATGTTTTAATACTTTTTTTCTCACATGCTTATACCAATCCTTAGCTGACTATTGGGCCATGTTACAGATGTTAAATCCTTACTTCCTCTGATGGGTCACTGCACCAGCATCAATATATATGATTCTCCGACTATCCCAACGATAATGCACCAGCATCATTGATGTTGATCACAATAGCTCTATCATTTTTCTATCGTATATACTTTTGGCATTTGTAGGTGGTGGTACAACATTTAAAGTCAGCTGTCGCGAATATGCAGTAGTTTTTGTGCCTTTGTAATATATTAGGTAATGTAGCAGCCATACAGTTGCCAAGTACCATAACTTTTTAGAAACACGGACCTTCTGATCCGAGGTCGGACGCCTTGTGAAAAGAGTGTAAATCATTCAGCAAGTTAACATGATATGGATGTCATGCACCTGTCGGATCTGCGTCCTAAACATCTTAACAACAGGAGAGTTTTGATAACAATGCGCAGGTTGGATAAGATCTGGAACTATCCCTGTAAATATATATATTATTCTTCGACAATCCCAACGATATTGTAAAAACATAGTCTTTTAATGTTCCAGGATTTCTGGGAAGACAGACTGACGAAATAAGGAAGACTCTTCATGGTAAGTACACATATTATCATAAAGGACACGTTTCATGTTTGCAGTGGGTAGTTATAAATGTTGGTCTCCATATAAGGCCTCCGTTTGGACGTCCATTCAAGGACTAATATACTCACGAATTGACATTTCTTTTCTTCCTTTTTCTCCAGACAAAAATATGCAATAGGCAACGATTGCACCACAGGCAAATAAAAAGCATATTTTAGCAGAAGTGCACAGGCGGTTGCTAAGTAGTTGTATAATCATGTCACAAAATCGCCATTAGAATTCCGGCTCTATATTTCCTGTACTTGTTTGCCATCAAAACAATATTCTGAGTGTTCCGTACTGGCTGTAAGTGCATCTTTGAAGTTATGCTTATGCATCTCATATCAGAAGAATTCGCTCGAGTTGACAGACTCTTCCAATGCAATATAAATATTAATATTAAATGCAATAAAAAAATCGTGGTTTATCAACACACATTTCTAAAGTATTAATGACGCAGTCCTGATATACTGAAATTTATTATTAACAATATTATTGCCATTTCATACACGAAACCGAATTCGTCTGGGTACTCCTTCCCGTCTTCCAGAACGTAAAGATAATTCACCATTTCGTAATATGGATATTGTGCTCCTTGTCCCTTTGGATTTTATAGTTAACAGATAAGGCCCAGTAATACTCATCAAGGGAAGAGCAACTTAGAACGTCTTAGAAGAGAGAATGCGAGTGACAATCGTTTATGCTTGAGTAAATTTCCTTTAGAAAAGCTGCTTTATTCCCCTCCCTTTGTTCCCAAAATCCAATCCATAATTAAACAGAATATTTTCAACTCTATAAACCATCCTCTTTCTGCCAATATGATATAAATTACATAACATGTTTGTATACCTATCCTCCGCGAGCTCCAAAAGCTGATACCAGTATTTAACAATAGTGACTCGTAATGATGAATCAATAAACATATAATTGCTGCCACTTTCAGCTAAAACGATAACATTTGTTCATTTATAACTTATACCCAATACATATTTACAAAACCTTACATGAAACCGGAAATATACTCTTCAAAAAAAGAAACTTGACACTGACTTTCAAAATGTAATATAATGCGATTGTTTCAAAATAGGACACAGAAAACAACATTTTTACACTGTTTGAAGATCAATGTACACAATGTACAAAACATTAATCGTGTCACCTAGACAGACACACGTACACGATACAGGTAATGTCACAGGGGTACAGAAAATGTCAGTATCGGTTGTGCCCACCACGTGCATCAATCACCGCTTGACATACCGACGACCTATAGATGCAATCAAGTTGTCAATAACACGCTGTTGGATGTGCTGCCATTCATGCTGAAGTGCATCAAGAAGCGCCGGAAGTGTTTGGGGTGGTGGATTACTTCTGCGAACGCGTCAATCCAACTCGTCCCACAGATGCTCAATCGAGGACAAATCTTGTGACCGGGCTGGCCAAGGTAATGTCTGGATGTTGTTGTGCTGTAAGATGTCCTGACAAACACGTGCAATATGCGGTCGAGCATTGTCCTGCTGGAACTGTCCGCCATGAACGTTGACGTAAGGAAGAACGTAAGGCTGTAGGATCAAGTCCCTGTAACGTACACCTGTCAATGCGTACCGTTGGTACCGTTTGATCTGATATTCTGCGTACCCCTGGGATCAATGTGGTTGTAGACGTGGCTGGGGTAGTGCGGTCTCGGAGGTGTCGCAGCCGGATGTATCGATCTTGTGCTTGGGTTGTCACCCTTGGTCTTCCTGACCTTGGTCTGTCGCCAACTCTGTTGGTGTTGTTGTATCGGGACCACAGTACGGAGATTGTCTGTCTGGATACTCCAAAGTGCCTGGCCACTTCTTGCTGAGTTGCTCAAGCTTGTAATCTCCCAATGGCGTTGTTCCTTTGAGCTGCATTCAGTCTTGGCATTCTGTCACCGCCTCTACCGCCGTTATAAGGACTGTATGAACAGCCGTTGATGTAGATCTTTATAGCCATTCAGCAGGGGGGCCTGCATGCCTAAATGCAGGAGCCTGTGCTGCACGTTTTTTTACAGGCGGTTGCGTTTGGGTGAAGCTGTAAAATTGATCCCCAAACGCTACGTTGATGTGCTTTGCATGTGTTTTCGCGAATTATAGACACATCATCTTTCTGTTTGACTTATTTGCTTCTCATTTAATGTAATTATTTTAGATATTTGGCAAAAAGTGGTTTTACATCTATGTCAACTTTCTTTGTTTGAAGAGTATATATTCAGAAGTCTGGTTGCAATTATTTTATCTGAAGACAAAACCGCAATTGCCCTTTTAACAATATTTGGAGCTGCTTTTGACCAAGAAAATATGTTTGAAAATGGTAATCTCAGAATATGTTTATATGATAAGATTATCAACCTTCTACCTCCAACATACCAGGCTTCATGCTTCCTTAAACTCATCACCATTTCTTAAAAACATCACTCCCGTTTCATCAAACTTGATGGTTATAGCCCATTTTTGGCAAAAACTTTAATCTTTCATACTGATGACAAAATTAGCAATAAGACAAAGATCATCTGCAATTAGTAAGTATCCAAAAGTATGAAATGTTCGGTAAGAATTGAGACAGTTTGTAATGTAAATATTTCACTTTATAATTCTTTCAGATCGGGAAAAAAACGAACACCTCTATAACAGTGAGTACGTATAGAATAAGGGTAGCAGTTTGCAAGGCGTATTCCACAATTGTATTGAAGGAGATGTCCCGTTATTCAATGTTTTCACCCTCATGTGGATTCTGGGATAGAACAGGCCCCAATAGAAACATGGTCTGGTTACGAAATGTTAGCATGCTAGCAATAGCATGCTAGCTCCCTGTACTTTCTATAGTTTGTTTATGTTAAATACAACTAATTTGTTTTGCCGAGACTCGCTGAGTAACAAGCTGCGGTGATAAAGTTAATATAAACATAATTACGAAAGTGTAATCCTACATAATTACAGTCAAATTTATATATTACGTGTCATGTCGTATTTTCAATACTGCATACCTTCATAGCTGCTTCTTAATGCTCTGGGTCCCGTGAAGATTCCGGGTCTTCAGCAACCCTTGCTAGTCGCATGACGCGATGAATGGGATCAGGCACTGACTTGGTTGGTAAATGACATCGTATCCCAATCGTATCGAATCTCATGATATTAATCAGTGGATTTACTCGACATTACAGACTTTCGTCATATTGCTCAGTGCGGTGTTAAAAAACCCCCCAAAAAACCTAACTTAATGCTCCGGGCAAGTGATTCTTCATTCAACACGTTTCTACGCTTATTACTTTGACATTGAGAACAGGAAAATACATAAGTGAAGTTAACTTTTTTGTTCTTATTGTTTCAGATCTTGTTGTATTACCAGTGGATCAAAAACTGAGGAGTGAGTATAAAACCAGATATAGAATTTGTTTGAGATGAACTTATAATATATATTCAATGGTCATTCAGTTATATCTCAAGCTAACTCTTTCAACCTGTCACGAAATACTCATACCAATATATTCACCTCCATACCCGTTCAGCCTTTACACCAGATTACAATTTCATGTTACGCATGGCACTTCCAAATACATAAACTTGGGTGACCACAATCCTGCAATGCAAGTAATGACAGTGAATAATAATAGGTAATGAACTGATGTTTTTCTTTCAGGGTGTAAAGACCTTAGTTTTGAAAAGCTCAGAGATGGTATGTACTATGAGACAATACATAAATAAAAAATGACAATACTCAACTAGTTAATATAGACATGTTCATATCTCATTGACGATTGTAGCAAATGTAGTGAAGGTTTCATTACATTTCTTTCATAATACATGTATTTTCTTATTGTTGCAACCATACGGAGTGTGTAATTGTTCCTTTTCGTATTTCAGTTCTTAAAGCTTCAAGTTATCCAATCGTAGATGACTATGACAGTAAGTACGAACTGGCGGAAACGACTTGCAAATAGTTCTTCTTTTGTTTTGTAATCAAAGGTCTTCAAAACACAGCCATAAAATGCCACAAAGTAATCATGTAAACTTAGGGGTTAGAATGGTGCAAGAGGCGACTTAATTGGTCGGACCCATGGATTGTTTCACATACTATCAAAAAATACATTGTTTGGTCTAGATTCAGTTATTTACGTTCTACCTTCATAGAGCTTGAATGTTGCTGTATGCAGCGTTAAACAACAAGCAGAATAACACAGAATGAAGATGCATTGATACAGTTCGACACAATACGATACGTGTCGTCATAACAATTCTTAAAACACGGCACGAGTACAATTTTGATTTTCTATGCAGGCAGGATTTTGTCTTGCAATAAGCATTTTTTAATGATCACCAACGTGTTTTCCTGTGTTCATGTAAACATCATAATTCAATGCTTTGAATTAGATTTTTATGGTATTCTGATTTCAAGTTATATTTTGATGAAGGGTATTGGTACCTCCTGGGAACATGTAACACTATTTCCTTTTTTCTTCTTTTCAGTTGCGGGAATAATCTCAGCACTGAAAGCAGGTATGAATAAATGTAGAATTAAATTTTAATTGTCACAAAGCTGTAACGGTACCCCAAACAAGAAGTTGTTGACTGGTCCATGTTGCTGCTCCACGTCATGGGGTGGGGTCAAAGTTCGAACAAACTTTGTGCCTTGGTGCATTAACCTACTGCCTTGAAATAAAACCCGTTTCCGGATTTTACGTCCAATCCAAGATAATTGTAGTAGATTTTATAGCGATGATATCAGGGGATCGAGATATTAAATAGAGTTTAAAGTTTCGTTCAAGATTTATTTCACTTACACAGGGACATGCATGCGCGTGTGTGTTACTGCTTGTACAAGTCCAGACTTGTGCCGGTCTTATAATGTTAGCCAACTAAGGTGACACGCCTCAGTTTAATATGCTCCCATCAGACACAATGATACTGACTAGGAGACGGCTAGTTCTTGTTTTGTCCCGATAATGCCGTGCTCAGGGTAACAACACGTACACATATACCATCTTTTCACGCATTTTGTTTTACTGCTGCCAGGGTATCGAACCACCTATTCTGCTTTCAGGGCAGACACTATATCAACTACGCCATTGATACGGTCTTTGACAAACGAAACTAAGTGATTAAGCAATGTCATAGTGTTTAGTTGGGCGTCACATCGTGGATTCGCAGCACCATAATTGAGGGGTCGTCTTGAACTTCCTTCTGCACTACGATCGTGTTCGTGAAGGAAAGTGACAATATATGCCAGAACAATTACACGATATCCGAATTACATTGCCAACTTTGCCTGGTAGACGTTTTAACCTACATTTATTATATTAGGAATACAAATTCTATTATAATACACATTCTTTTATTTCTGTAACATATGATATTTACAATATAGAAACACACGAGAGTAACGATCTCGTCATCATTTCATGTCATTCTAAAGTCAACGTTTTGCAAAACAGGGTAGTTTTAGAAACCGCTTTTGAATGCAATGAGTAAACCGCCACATTATCATATTGTCGAAAATGATTTGCAGCCATGTGTGTCTCGAGAAACACACAGCAGTACGTGAACCCCTATCCAAACGTACATATGTAGGCTATTGCGCAATCGGGCACTGCGAAAATGCAACGCAGTTGAATGTAGTCCCTTCTTGTTGTCCTCATTGCATATTTATCAGATGTTGGAACCAAATTTATCTGATTGCTTTCTCTTATCGACAAAACTACCTATCGAGATCTGTGTCAACTTGTGTATTTTACAATATCGATAAAACATTATGATTTTTCAGCTTTGAAGGTTTTATTGAATGTTTGAAATATTCTGCTTAGGCCGTCATTGCTAAATTAGTTTTCAGGGAATCGAAGATGAAATCCCATAACGTTAATCTCCAAAGTGAAACATGCCTTTTATATATTATCATGTAGTATGCAACCAAGTTTCACAACAATATTACAGTTACAGTTAACTGCCTTTACAAATTATTGGTCGGCTCTAATATTGTCATAGTCTAGTAACAATTTTATGATAGAAGACATAATTATTGTATCGTGATCAGGATATTCATCTAAGAAAATTTAAAAAAAATTGTTAACTTTCTCAAAGTGCGTTAAAAAATAATGTTTAATCATACGTTACATTCAGAGTGCAAAAAATACTGTCCACAAGACTGTATGACAAGAGGGATGACTTCAAATTTCAATAGTCAACTTCCTTCATTTTGAGCAATATTCCAGCAGCTCCAGCTTTGGTGTTTACATTTCAGAACTTTTGAGGTACAATCGAACAGGCTTTTTCGACCACGATTTCAATTGACTTGCTGTTGCATGTCTTTGTGACAGGTGCAACCAGTGGGGGGCAGTATACGCGCATCTTTTCGCCAACACCTTTTTTCATTACTCGTCAATGTCACTACAGTCTCCTCTATGCACGGGTATTCAGATCGAGAACATATTTCTATTTTCTAATACTATAACTATCGACGGATCATAACGAATTACGATTTTAATAAGACACACCTTTTTAATTATCGTTACTCTCTTTCAGCGATGTGCGCCGACAATACTGACAGTAAGTACATCTACAACCAATTTATGAAAACAGCTTTGAAGCAACCGACATATTTAGTCTGACGAATGGCATTGTTTTCAGTTCCAAATATGCATTTTGCAATTATAATATATATATATATATATATATATATATATATATATATATATATATATATATATATATATATATATTCTTCATGATCTGGCACATTAAAATAGCTTTATCAAGAATAAAAGCATGTTTCCTGTTATAGATTAGATATTCAATAACTAATTTCACATCCAATGTGAAAAAATCAAGCACAAGTCCGTCAACAAGCATTTGTTTGAGCGGTGTTATTTCTCGCAGTTCAACAAGCGCAACATTGTTTCTTTGTAATGTATACTTATTGAATCCCCAAAAACTCTAACAACTAATATATGTTTAAAAAAAGTCATTTCTGATGTTAAAATGAAAAAATTAACTCCCGTTGATTAGTAATGAGTAGTTTTTATGGAACCGAAAAATACTTTGCTTTGCGTCAGTGTAAAGAATATACAGGCAACCGGGTCACTTCATTCCAATATAACTGGTACATCTAGCGTCACAGTAAAATTGTATCCCTTAAACTTCAAAATACGGATTTATTAGAAATTACTTTCATATTGTGTCGCAAACCAAGACAATATGAAATTAATTTTTCGTAATTAATTTTCAGCCGAGACACTATTTAATTATCATGACTGTCTTTCAGATATCGAGAAAACATATTTTGAAGATTTGGAGGAAACACAGGAAGACAACAGTATGTATATGTTAAATACTGAAATATCCTTAAAAGGCGAATTCAATTTTGCAAATGCTAAGATGAAACCTTTACGAAATGGGATAAAAACTTAAAAGAATATTAAACTTTTTGTTATAAAAGTTAATCGAGAATGGGTCAATGTAAATTTCATAAGAGGAAAGAAACATGACTACATGCATGGTAAAATAAGGACAATAAAAAAACGAATTTTCAAAAGTGACTATGTATATTTTCCTTACCTTACCTGGAGTACGCTCGTACATATGGCCAGTGCTATCGTGGTGGTGCTTGTTACATGCCAATCAAACTGCACTTTTTGTGACGTCTAAGGGATTCATTCAGAGGATGAAATGAAAGCAGCTGAGTGTTTAGATATGACAACAGTTAAGACTACTCGCCGATGTAGACATGACCTGTCAATCTTCAAAGGTCAAGACCATTTACTGTCAGTATCGACTGTGCCTGCCAGCTCCTGCCCATTGAAGCCATAAGGATACGAATCGGGCCTTGAAGTCTGCGGTTGTGGTGGATACTGTCACACCCGTCTATCCAAAACACCCCATGAATGTTCGACGGAGTTTCTCTTTTTAGAAAATACCTTACATATTTTATACATATGAATATATATGTTTAATGATCAGCTAAGTTTCCATAAGCATTTGTGTCAAACAAAAGCTTTAAACCCTATTTAGTCCAATGTTTGATTTGTAAGACTTTATATGCACACTGTGTACACTTTAGGAGAATTATGCACACTGTGCACACTTTACGAGAATTATCTGCTAGTTAAATAATATGGCCACATAATTTATATCTAAATTACCGTTAATAACCAAAGTCATATGCCGAACGGCATGTCATTGAATGTGTACAATGTAGACATAAATAGGACTTTCCAATACTGAACATATAGCAATACATGAGCAACTGAATAAAACAAGTGTTGTGTGCGCTCACGGGTTTTGCGTGTGCAGTATAGTTGCCTCGCTTAATAAGTACATTGTTTAGACATTAATTACATCACTTTGAATCATTTGAATGGAACACACACAGTTATCATTTAGAGATACATTCATTTCCCTACACTTCAATTGCAAACATTCAATAAACTATACAATTGACATGCACATGAATTACTTTGCTTCCACGAGCCCGATTATGTGTAATTTTCATTTGCTGAACAAATGTCTAAACGTTATTATTTTATATTTCATACCAATGTGAAGAGAGAAAAAGTTATCCTAACACTATAGCTATTGTATGTACTGTAGAGCATAAACTGGTGAGAGAGTAGCAGTTAAGCTGCTGTTTAGGAATAGGGGATATCATAAAGAAAGAAAAAGGTGGTAAGGGCCTGAAGTAAGTCTAGGAAGTTTTGGGGTAGGGGTAGGGATTACGGTGTGACGGTTACTGTGTGCTTTGCTTGTCGCTGTGATTGACGGCCTTGGCCTTAGTGGTTGGATGGTTAAACGGTGTATAGTTTAATAAGTGTGGATAAAAGAGTTTAAGCGCGCGGACGTCGTAGAAGACAGTCGACACGGGAAATTTGGATCCCGATCCGAAAAGGTAAAGGTTTGTTTACATTTGTGTTGTATAGGATAAATAGGTTTGTTTGGGAGGATCTAAACGGTTTTTATGTTTGTGACGTACTGTAGAACTGGTAGAGGCGTGGCAAAGGCGGATGTTGGGGGGCAAAGGGGCTATTTTTAAGTATCATTAGGGAGGTGCCCTGATAGAATGTTGTGCGCAAGTTTGAAAACATGTCTAGTGATGGGATGTGGGTTGTCTTTAAAAAATGTGCTTGTTGTGTTTTGGACAAATTGATGTGACATTTGTATGCCTTGTTCTTGGGTTTTCCATAAGGAGTGAATTTAGATCTTGCAGGTTAAAAAAATTGTGTTCAAAACGCTCCCTCCCCAGGTACTGGACCATGGTGAAGGTTGTGCGATGATGTGTGCTTCGGTACAGATTAATTCCAGGGGCTTGAATAACAAAGGGTGTAGGCAGAAGATGTTTTGTGTTTAGAATTTTTTAAGTGGAAGAGGTTAGGCAAGAATTATACTGCTCGTCAGTGTAGCTAGTGATGTCTGTGTGGGGGTCAGCTTGGGTGGGGGTGCTAGCAGTGGCCAGGTCCCTACCGGGGGAGGTCTGGGTCTCAGACGTGGAGCTTGGGATAGGTTTTATGTCCTGTATATCAATAGGGCCTATGGATAAATTGGGAGTTTTTGCAGGTGAGGTCTGGCAAGTTTTAGCGCAGGCGGGTGGTAGGGTGTGTGTGTGTGTGTGTGTGTGTGTGTGTGTGTGTGTGTGTGTGGGTTTCTCGAGGTACCCCGAATAAAGACATGACATGATCAATACTCATTACCTACACAATGTTGCTAATCTAACGTACTGATTTTCTGAGTTTTAGAGATTACCTCGCACCTTTGAAGGGCATGAGTATGCAGGAGTGACTAAAATTACATAAGTTTTCTCGGAGAGCGCGTTATCATAGAGTAATGTTTACTTCTCTCGCCGGACATGTAGTCTTAACGATTAGCACATAACGCGTATAGCCTAATCTTTGGATTGAATGCAGGCGTATATCAACACCGACTGATAATAGACTTCGGACGATACGCGCATGTAGTCTTAACGCTTAATACATAATGCTTATCAACTACACGCATGTAGTCTTAACGCTTAATACATAATGCTTATCAACCAAAACTTGTGAATGAAGGCTGGCGTATATCATCGCCGACTGAGATGGACTTTTGATACACAAATTATTGAGTAATATACACATAATATGTTGTTTAGTCTTATTTTATAAAGCCAAAATTATTTATGAAAAAAAGAAGAAAATGATGACATATTTTCGAATTATGACAACAAGTATAACTTGTCCCTTCTTCCCACACTTCTAAAACATGATGTCAGATTTCAGGAATGTTAACATCACCTTTTGACGTTTGCATGATTGTTCACCGGAACTACGTTCATGGGGAATCCTCGAGTAGATAAATTCTCTCTTGTCTCTCCTGCTTACCACGTTCGTGAGGATCAGCAATATTGGACAATAATTTAACATTTAGGACCCACATTTCGGCATGATGTTGGCGTCAGTGTGAAGAATATACATGCAACTGGGTCACTTCATTCCAATGTAACTGACAAATCTAACGTAAATTGTGACAGTAAAGTTTGTATCCCTTTAACTTCAAAATACGGATTTATAAGAAATGACTTTCATATTGTGTCGCAAACAAAGACAATGTGAAATTCCTTTTTCGTAATTAATTTTCAGCTGAGACACTATCTAATTATCATAACTCTCTTTCAGATACTGAGGGAACAGAGGATGCAGAATTGAAGGAAAAAGAGGAAGACAATTGTGAGTATATGTTAAATACTTAAACATTCTTAAAAGGCGAAAACCTTTACGAAATGGGATTAAAACTTTAAAGAATATTCAACTTTTTGTTATGACATTTAATTGATAATTTGTCAATGTAAATTTCATAAGAGAAATGAAACATGACTATATGTATGCTAAAACAAGGACCACAAAAAAACTAATTTTCGAAAGAGACTATTTACCTTACCGGGAGTGCATATGGCCATTGGTATTGCGGTGATGCTTGGTACATGTCAATCACATACTCCCCTTAAAAGAAACGCAAATGCACTTTTGTAACATCTAAGGGATTCATTCAGAGGATGAAATGAAAGCAGCTGAGTGTTCACTATGACAACAGTTAAGAGTGGTCGCTGATGTAGACAGAGTAGCACACACGAGTGTCTTTTGATATCAAATATATCAAGAAGGGTTGATTTATTTGAAATCAAAAGACACAAGGGTGAAATTGTATGCTTCATCCAACATTATTCTGCCAACTGTTTCAGTTTGTAGACAGTAGTAAGCCGTGCCCTAAGTTTAAAAACGTACTGCTTACAGCTTCAGTAGTAGAGCCATAAGTGATCTCATTTGATTGTGACGTCATGGAAACGAATGACGTCACTATGGTCTTAAACAGTGTGATGCAGTTTCATTGCAGTGATATCTACAGTAGATAACATAAAATCCATAAAAATATAATGTTTTCTCGGCAAGCTTTTAATACCTTAATTGAGGTAGTAAGGTGATATACTAGTATTTAGTTTGATTTTCTATACATATTGTGATGCACAAGTTGATATAAAACTTCCTTTGTTCGAAATGTCAACGCATGGAATTGTAGGATAAAACACGTCAGAGGGAGTTTATGAGTTTTACAACCTGAATCTAATGGATAAAACCGAGGGGCGTCAGTTCCGTGATTTTATCCCTAGGATGAAAGTTTAAATCTCATAAAAGCTCGAGGATAAGTGTTTTAGTTTACTTATAAACCGATCAAAGAAACTTAAAACAACATTTATAAAGATTTAATGTTTCACAGAAACTTTCTATGAGTTTTCAGAAAACTGGCGTAAAATTTCATTTTGATTTATCGCTTCTGATCTAGGCCACAGATACGAAGGTTGCGTTTTCGATTCTCGGGAATATAAAGAAAATATTTGTCATTTGATATTATATATACTGTGTTCAAATGCAAAATAATTTTCTATCGATAACAATCATATTTTACAATAAAAACGGAAGTTGTATGAACAAAATCCCCGTTCCATTATAACATGCCTATTATGAGATTTAACTCGACTGGAGAACAAGAGGATGACGTCACTGGAGGTTTGTAAGATTATATATGCACACTGTGTCTTTACGAGAATTGCAGGCCAGTGACACTTTTAAACATGTGAATTAATTGTTTATCAGTTTCGACCATGCCAGTAGGTAATGTTTCTGGAGATTGTATTTTTGTGTTGCTTTTTTTCAAATGCCAAACCCAAGTATTAATCAGACATCTGTACATATCCATATCTTTTGAATGGAAAAATGATGTATCATGTGATCACAGGTATAATTTGTCATTTTTAACAATACTTCTCAACATTTTATATCATGAAGTAAGATTTCATGAATATTACACTATAATGCACACGTTAATAAAACTGTGCCTCACTCTATATGTAACTCAGTTTTGTAATATACATACTGTAGGTTTAGTAGAATTTAACCAGAAAATTTCAACACTTCCTCATTATTTTCCTTCAGCACCTTGGGACGAAGAAGGAAATGGGTATGAAGAACCTTTCTTCAAGCAGATAATAGAGATCCAACGTATGTAATGATGGAAAAACATGTGTGATTTAAATCTCTCCAGCTTTCATTGAAACCCCAGTAACTGAAGCCTACTGAAAATATATATAATTATCTGGTAGTGCAACTTTGCATCCAACGTGCATGTTTGGATTTTGATTGCAAAACCTAAGTCATTCTTTTCAAACTGATTTTGTCTTACGACGTGACTGTAGTTGATCGATGCATCTGAGAGTGATTATCTGTCTCTGCATAATTACTATACTATAATAAACTACAATTTCACCTGAATTCTAAGATGCTTCGCTAAAAGATCAAAGGATCTGACTGTACTTTATCCTGCAATAAGAGCATTTGTTTCAGTTACGTCTATTGGTCTGATATCATGCTGTTCAATTACCCCCTCCTTGGTGGCATCGTTTTCTCATTACTGTCAAGCAAGATGGCGCATGCCCATCAATTGTTGATCGGTGAAATTGTCTCTTTAAACCTGTCGAAAAAATGAATGTTATCACCGGTGAAGGAATATGGCCAGATGATGTCAGCCATCTCTGATACCCCGACATACCCAAAACCACTGTGTCCGTGCCACAGCAGCCACACCTTTGTCCGAGGCGTTCGTGCCCCCGGACTTATGTCTGTCTCTGGACACTGGCATGATCACTCATTGAGTTTCATAACCGCATGTGCACGGAAGGACGAGTTTGCCCTGAGTTTAATAACAGCATGTGCACAGAAGGACGAGTTTGCCTTGAGTTTAATAACTGCATGTGCACAGAAGGACGAGTTTGCTTTGAGTTTAATAACCGCAGTGGCACAGAAGGACAAGTTTGCCTTGAGTTTAATAACCGCATGTGTTCGGAAGGACGAGTTTGCCTTGAGTTTCATAACCGCATGTGCACAGAAGGACGAGTTTGCCTTGAGTTTAATAACTGCATGTGCACAGAAGGACGAGTTTGCTTTGAGTTTAATAACCGCATGTGCACAGAAGGACAAGTTTGCCTTGAGTTTCATAACCGCATGTGCACAGAAGGACGAGTTTGCCTTGAGTTTAATAACTGCATGTGCACAGAAGGACGAGTTTGCCTTGAGTTTAATAACCGCATGTGTACAGAAGGACGAGTTTGCCTTGAGTTTCATAACCGCATGTGCACAGAAGGACAAGTTTGCCTTGAGTTTAATAACCGCATGTGCACAGAAGGACAAGTTTGCCTTGAGTTTAATAACCGCATGTGCACAGAAGGACGAGTTTGCTTTGAGTTTAATAACCGCATGTGCACAGAAGGACGAGTTTGCCTTGAGTTTAATAACCGCATGTGCACAGAAGGACGAGTTTGCCTTGAGTTTAATAACCGAATGTGCACAGAAGGACGAGTTTGCCTTGAATCTTTTAGGTAATATAAAAATATGTGTGCCTTTCTCCAACCTGTTATTAGAACAGCTTATTTTCTTTTTCAGTTGGACAGTCCAAGGGAATAAACGTGGAACAGACACCAGAAATACAAAGTATACCAACCAAACAAACACATGTTTCCGTTCCATACTAATATTTCGTCTCTCCAATTTGAACCAGAGTACTCTAAAAGTATTATATCTAAAATAGAACTTTGATTCCATGCATTGACGCACACTGCTCTATATCTATGTTGCTATCAAATATCTGTTGATGGTTGTCTCACTATTTGCGTTTGGCGTTTTGACATATCTTTCACTAAAGTCTGTTGTTATATCTGAAAGGACAATTTGTCTTAAACATCATGGTTCGTAAAAATGACATTTGTTTTTGTCTTTTTCAGAATAAATGATCAGCTGGACACGATGGTCTCCTGATGTGATGTCCTTGGACGTGTCCTTGTAAACTGACGTAATAAACATCTTGATGACACAAAAACTGAAAAAGCTTTCTGTCGTTGTTATATAGACACTGCAATGCTCCCAGAATATAATAATATGACAGACGCTAATATCGGATATAATGTTTGATAAATATTTCATGTGTTGTATGTTTAATGTATACCATGCCAAAAAGGTAGAAGATAGTTGGAATCATCAAAACCTATCTTCTGCTCGATCCATATGGTAATGGCAAATGGAAATAATATAATAATATCCGACTGGGAGTAGGTGATAAGATGTAATGGGTGCTAATGGATAGGGTGATCAGATGGTGACGCACTAATTTGCATTTTGTAGCAAACGTCATGATCATTAATATCGGTTAAACCACCTTTGTTGGCCGGACATGCTTCTGTGAAGTCGACCAATGTCAACTTGGCTCATGTTGTACCACCCATCAGTGAGAGGTGCGCAGAGTTCATTGAGAGTGGTGGATGAATTTAGACGTCGGACCGTTTCAGTAGGGCAGTGGCGTAACATGGATGCTTTGCAATGTGCAATGTGAGCATGTGCATTATCATCTAGAAAAATGAAACGTTGCTCGACATGCAAATGGCACTTGTCTTCTGCAATTATATTGTCCTGATAGTATTGGCCTGTGACTCTGCCCTTGACAACATGGAGTGCAGTTCGGCCAGTCACTGTGATACCACCCCATACCATTATGGACCCACCCCTGGACCGATCATGCTGTATGACGTTAACGTCCTTAAAAAGCCCATTAGGAGGTCTCCAAGCTCAATTCCTTTGGTTATGGAAGTCGAGAGTAAACCTCGATTCGTCAGAAAAATGACATTAGCTCAAAACCGATTATTACAGTGATGACGCGTCTGATTTAAATGGTGAGCAGTAAGTTGTAAGATGACACGTGGACGTCGTGCAAAAAAACCAATTGCTTAATTAATGATAAAATGTGCTTATTAAAGTGTCTTCGAGCGTTAGGTTTCAAGAAAACAATATGCGTCTGCTCACAACCGAGTCTGAGTGACAATGGTAACTCGGGCATACAACCCCTTGCCCCTTGCTTGAAGAGCTTGATTTCTTCTGACATTGTCCTGCTGCCACATGAATCATTTACTTTCATTGCCTGACATTTGTGTATTTTCCTGTCGTTCCACCTCAAAACGGAATATGCCCTACATTCCTTTCATTGTAAACATATGCAGCACCTTTTCGTTTGCGAACACAAAACTTGTATTTCTGTCATGTTAAGAGCACATACCACAATAAGGGTATAAAAGTCTATTTCATCCCGAATAGGTAATCTAATTCGTTCATTGTCTTATAAAGTGTCTGTACAATGATGTCATGCACAAGGCCTTGATTATGAATTTATGGCTCTGTAAAAGGCGTAAAAACTAAGCTGTTCATGCCAAGTTGACTTAGCATTATCCTGAAGTCTTGAAGTATTTCAATATCTTGGCAAACTAATAAAGTCACACAGCTGTGCTCCTTAGATCATGGGTGTCAAAAATGAGAACGGAGTAATAATGAAACCGACGTAAAAGGTGCACAGGTTTGTTATTAACGGCTTGTTGTACTAATAGTTGCCAATGAAGGATCAGATAACACCACCAGCACTAACAAGGATCACTTATTGCATTTCTTATCGTAAATAATCAATATGCAATTTGCCTTTGTTGTCCTCAATATGTCCTATCCATGAATTCTTGTTTGCTCTTCGTCATCATAGTGATGGGTCAAGGTATCAAGACACACATGCAGTACATCAGTAACACACCTTTTTGTAAATCGACACACAAATACTACATCGATAACACCCTTTGTTGTAACTTGACACACATAAAGTACATCAGTAACATGCTTTTTAGTAAATCGACAGACAAATACTACATAGATAACACCCTTTGTTGTAACACTTGACACACATAAAGTACATTGGTAACATGCTTTGTGGTAACTTGACACACATACAGTACATTAGTAACATATTTTGTTGTAACTTGAAACATAAAAACGACGTCGGTAACACCCTTTGTCGTTTCTTGACACACATACTGTACATCGGTAACATCCTTTGTTCTAACTTGACACACATGCAGTACATCGGTAACATGCTTTGTGGTAACTTGACACACATAGAGTACATTAGTAACATATTTTGTTGTAACTTGAAACATAAAAACAACGTCGGTAACACCCTTTGTCGTTTCTTGACAGACATACAGTACATCGGTAACATGCTTTGTTGTAACTTGACACACATACAGTACATCGGTAAAACCCTATTTTGTAACTTGAGACACATACAGTACATCGGTAAAACCCTTTTTTGTAACTTGACAGACATACAGTACATCGGTAACACCCTTTGTTGTAACTTGACACACATACAGTTCATCCGTAAAACCCTTTTTTGTAACTTGACACACATACAGTATATCGGTAACACACTTTGTCGTAACTTGACACACATACAGTACATTGGTAACACATTTTGTCGTAACTTGACACACATACACTACATCGGTAACATCCTTTGTTGTAACTTGACACACATACAGTACATCGGTAAAACCCTTTGTTGTAACTTGACACACATACACTAAATCGGTAACATCCTTTGTTGTAACTTGACACACATACAGAACATCCGTAAAACCGTTTGCTGTCACTTGACACACATACAGTACATCGGTAACACCCTTTGTCGTAACTTGACACACATACAGTACACCGGTAAAACCCTTTGTTGTAACTTGACAAACATACAGTACATTGGTAACATCTTTTGTTGTAACATGCCACACATACAGTACATTGGTAACATCCTTTGTTGAAACATGCCACACATACAGTACATCGGTAACACCCTTTGTTGTAACTTGACACACATACAGTACATCGGAAAAACCCTTTGATGTAACTTGACACACATACAGTACATCGGTAACATCCATTGTTGTAACTTGACACACATACAGAACATCGGTAACATCCTTTGTTGTAACATGCCACACATACAGTACATTGGTAACACCCTTTGTCGTAACTTGACGCACATAAACTACATCGGTAACATCCTTTGTTGTAACTTGACACACTTACAATACATCGGCAACACCCTTTGTTGTAATTTGAGACACATACAGTACATCGGTAACACACTTTGTTGTAACTTGCCACACATACAGTACATCGGTAACACCCTTTGTTGTAACATGCCACACATACAGTACATCGGTAACACCCTTTGTTGTAACTTGACACACATTAACTACATCGGTAAAACCCTTTTTTGTAACTTGACAAACATACAGTATATCGGTAACACACTTTGTCGTAACTTGACACACATACAGTACATTGGTAACACATTTTGTCGTAACTTGACACACATACACTACATCGGTAATACCCTTTGTCGTAACTTGACGCACATAAACTACATCGGTAAAACCCTTTGTTGTAACTTAACACACATACACTAAATCGGTAACATCCTTTGTTGTAACTTGACACACATACAGAACATCTGTAAAACCGTTTGCTGTCACTTGACACACATACAGTACATCGGTAACACCCTTTGTCGTAACTTGACACACATACAGTACATCGATAACACCCTTTGTCGTAACATGCCACACATACAGTACATCGGTAACACCCTTTGTTGTAACTTGACACACATAAACTACATCGGTAAAACCCTTTTTTGTAACTTGACACACATACAGTACATCGGTAACATCCATTGTTGTAACTTGACACACATACAGTACATCGGTAACATCCTTTGTCGTAACATGCCACACATACAGTACATTGGTAACACACTTTGTCGTAACTTGACGCACATAAACTACATCGGTAAAACCCTTTGTTGTAACTTGACACACATACAATACATCGGCAACACCCTTTGTTGTAATTTGAGACACATACAGTACATCGGTAACACACTTTGTTGTAACTTGCCACACATACAGTACATCGGTAACATCCTTTGTTGTAACTTGACACACATACAGAACATCCGTAAAACCGTTTGCTGTCACTTGACACACATACAGTACATCGGTAACACCCTTTGTCGTAACTTGACACACCTGCAGTACATCGGTAACACCCTTTGTTGTAACATGCCACACATACAGTACATCGGTAACACCCTTTGTTGTAACTTGACACACATAAACTACATCGGTAAAACACTTTTTTGTAACTTGACACACATACAGTATATCGGTAACACACTTTGTCGTAACTTGACACACATACAGTACATTGGTAACACATTTTGTCGTAACTTGACACACATACACTACATCGGTTACATCCTTTGTTGTAACTTGACACACATACAGTACATCGGTAAAACCCTTTGTTGTAACATGCCACACATACAGTACATCGGTAACACCCTTTGTTGTAACTTGACACACATAAACTTCATCAGTAAAACCCTTTTTTGTAACTTGATGCGCATACAGTACATCGGTAACACCCTTTGTTGTAACTTGACACACATACAGTACATCGGTAACACATTTTGTCGTAACTTGACACACATACACTACATCGGTAACACCCTTTGTCGTAACTTGACACACATAAACTACATCGGTAAAACCCTTTGTTGTAACTTGACACACATACACTAAATCGGTAACATCCTTTGTTGTAACTTGACACACATACAGAACATCCGTAAAACCGTTTGCTGTCACTTGACACACATACAGTACATCGGTAACACCCTTTGTCGTAACTTGACACACATACAGTACATCGGTAACACCCTTTGTTGTAACATGCCACACATACAGTACATCGGTAACACCCTTTGTTGTAACTTGACACACATAAACTACATCGGTAAAACCCTTTTTTGTAACTTGACACACATACAGTATATCGGTAACACACTTTGTCGTAACTTGACACACATACAGTACATTGGTAACACATTTTGTCGTAACTTGACACACATACACTACATCGGTAACATCCTTTGTTGTAACTTGACACACATA